AAGCAAATGTTTTTATATCCTTTTGGTATCCCTTTAATTCCCTTTTTACTAGTTAATACTGTATTAAAAGCTGTCCATAGTATTGTTTTAATATCCTTTTTTAGTGTCCCTTTAATTCCCTTTTTACTAGTTAATACTGTAATAAAAGCTGTTCGTAGTATTGTATGAATGCCAACCGGTAAAGTAGTTATTTTATATTCTTTTTTAGCTTTTGCTTCTCTTTGCTAGTTCTTTTATTCTCACTGCAATAAAAGATTTTTTGTAGTGTTTGAATGTCTGTTGTACTTGTCTTTATTCCAGGCATGTATCCCAATGGGCTAATACAAGAGTCAGAAGGAAATGCACAGCCTGAACCAGGCATAGATGACCGGGGAAGAGTACAGGGATATGGTGCAGCTGTGTAGAGATGGGATCAGGAAAGCTAAGGCTTGGAGTGGGACTTGGCGAGGGATGCAAAGAGTTATCAGAATGGATATTAGGTCAGAAAAGAAAGGCCAAGGAGAGTGTACCCTCCTGACAAATGAGAAGGAAATGTTGGTGACAATGGATATGGAGAAGGCTGAGGAACTCACAAGTGCTTCACCTCAGCCTTCACTGGCAGTCTGGGTCCCACATCTCTCATGTTCCTGAACCTAAAGTTGGAGGTTGGGGAAGTGAAGTCTCTCCCACTGTAAGCAAAAAGCAGGGTCTAGAGTTCTCAGCACAAGATGTGGATCTGTCAGAACAGGTCCAGAAGAGGGCCACCAAGATGACCAGAGGGCTGAAGCACCCCTCCTGTAAAGACAGGCTTAGAGTTGTGGTTATTCAATCTGGAGAAAGCTCTGGGGAGACCTCATTGCAGCCTTCCAGTACTTAGAGGGGGCTTACAAAAAAGAGGGAAAGTGACTTTTTACATGGGGTGGTAGGAGTATGACAAGGGGCAAGACTGAAACCGAAAGGAAAGTTTTAGGTTAGATGTCAGGAAAAAATTCTTAATCCAGAGGATAGTGAGGCACTGGAACAAGTTGCCCAGAAAAGCTGTGGACGCTCCATCCCTGGAAGTGTTCAAAGCCAAGCTGAATGGGGCCTTGAGCTGCTTGATCTAGTTAGTGGTTGGCAACCCGTCCCATTGCAGGAGACTTGGAACTAGATGATACTTAAGGTCCCTTCCGATTCAAGCCATTCTATGATTCTGCATTTACTATCTGAAGATTTGATCTGACAACCATTGTCTTCATTTGGCATGAGCAGGCTCACTATAACACCTTGAAGCACCTATGATTCAGACACAACTGGACATATCAGTATGAATTTGCAGACTAAGGCCATTACTTGCTCACATTTTATTATCTGCCTTTTTTTTGGAAATGGAAAACCACAGTGGAGAAGTCCATTCTAAGAAAAGAGAAATGACTGGAAAAGGACAGCTTGGACCCAGACAAAGGGAAAGTAACACAATACACACAGGTAGTATTAATAGAAGCAGAGACACAGTGAACAGTGAGCAACAGATGCAAATCACTGAATTGAGGGCTGAGCATAACAACAATTGCTCAGCTTCTAAGCAGGCTGTGTCCACCAGACATGGTTACACGGATACTGAGCCCTGTCATTTACAGTGGAGTTGACAATCCAAATGCAGTACTTCCTGCAGTGTTTGCCATAGGCTTGTGGAAAACCCTGGTTAGGCTGCCAGGTGGGGGACGGGACATGACCCACAACAGCTGATGGACAGCTACTTGAGAATACAGGAAGCAAACTCAGATGTCTCCTCTCAGAAGGGGTTGAGATAATTTCTTAGCATTGTTCTGTAGGTCTACAATGTGGAGAGTAAGCATGAAATCACATGACAGCAGACTCAGACAGATGTGTTTCAATATGTCCTCAGAATACTCCATAACTGCAACATGAAGATTTTAAAAACAGATGTTGCAAGAGAACTGTCAAGCAGGTAACACTGGGCTTTTCAACTAAGTTCCCTCCATGAGACTTGGTCCACGGCACCACAAATCCTTTAGTTTCTTTTTTAGTCTGCAACTACCAGGCTATATAATGTCAACTACCAGGCTCTTAATGTCAAGCTTTGTTCAGACTCACCATTCCCTCCCCTGTACCATCTCCCTAATACATCTGCAAATACCTCCACATACAGCTTTGAAGTTACACAAAGCACTTCTGTGATGGTAATGTTACCTATGTCTATCAGAAAGAATGAGAAATGCTGTAGCAGAGAAGACATCTCCAGGTATCATCAACTGAGTTGTGGTAATACAGAAATATTCTTTATGCTCATATACCTATCGGAAATGTTAGCTGCATATTTAGTGGTTTGGTCATTTCACTCCATTAGAAAACAGCACCTGAACATGTAATGATTAGAAGTATATAATAAAAATGGATCTGTTCCTGTTTCCTCAATTTAATTTCCATATTCTGTGTTACACAACATAAAAATATTCTGCTATTATCACACTTCTATAGCTAGGGAAGTAATCAGAGAGGTCTGGAGCACTCCAAAAACAGATGGACTAAAGGATTTCAGTATTTTTCATAGTCTGCAACTCATTGCCCTTCTATATATCTCCATAACCCCAAAACTGCTGTCATCCCCCATTTTTTCCATTTTAAATACACAAACACACCTTTACTTAGCACTACTATAGCCAGAAAAGCTGCAACTAATTGGCTTATATCAGAAGGAAAATCTCGTAGCATAGTGATACATTGGATATACTGGGGATTTCAAAGTTCACTGAAGAACATCCATATTGCAGAAAGAATCCAGTATCTTACTGCATTTTAAATCAGTATGTTTGGGTTTCAGTATAAATTAAAAAAACTCACCTCTAGCAACTCATCTGCAATCTGTAACCTGCCATCTTTTCCAGCTGCTCCATTAGGATCAATTCCCACTATAAAGACACTCATCCTGGATCGGTCTTTGTTACCAGCAAGACTAAGTCCCAGACCTGTCCTTCCTTTTTCCAGCTCAATCATGTGTAACTCCCCCGGTAGATTTCCATAGCGCTGCACGATCTTTTCTAAATGTAAAAGTGTGGGCAGCAGAGGTTGGATTTACATTAGAAAGTTTCACAAGTCACCTAGAGTCAAGATCAGCATCCAGTGGGCAGTATCTGACAGAAAAATCACAAACTGGATGAGAAAATTTTCAGTGTAAACCACACCTTCTTTTGAGCTAAGCCTTAGGTGATTTACAATATTATTTCTAGTTTCCTGTTTTCCTTATAATTTCAGAAAACATTAAAACTTTTCTTAAAAAAGATTTTTTACACATAAAAGCAATCATATTCTCTCCAGTAATGCCTTCAGGTAACAGAAACTATCACATTGTCATCAGTTAATAGGAGGAGTACAATGAAATTCTCTGAGTAGTACTATATGTGAAACAATGAATTTAGACCATGGAGGAAAACAGAGATTGTAGTGCAATGATGAATAAAAAATGCGTTTCATATCTTACCATGAGCACCTGACCAAGTACAACTAAAAGAGCAACACTTAACATCCAAACCACAAAGCACATGATAAAGAAGCAGTTCAAACAGGATGACCCCACTCCCATATCTTATGCAGTGCTATTTTAACACCGAGTATTGCAAATATTATCACAAAGGATAAACTTACTCCAGCTGTAACCAAACTCATCCTCCTTCTCCACATCTTCTGGCACTCTGGTAGAACATGACTGTGCAACATCACAGCTCATTCCTGAAAATGCTGATGGAGGGGGCAGAGGCAAATTATAAAGTGAAGTCTTTTCTGTTTCTGCATCAGACTGACCGAATGCCTGTGGAGAATAAAAAAAATGCAGTGGCTAAGAAAATGCAGACTCTGTGTAGGGCAAACTAGTATACAAAAATGTCAAAATGGTAATGACTATGGCTTTGAAGTTTAAATATCAAGCAACTGAAACTCTAAATTAATAACACAACACAGAAAGGCTGAAAGAGATCATAGACAGAAACAAACACCAGGCAAGGTAAGAGATAACATGACTCCAAATTGTATTTGGAAACAAACAAACTCACAATAAAAGCCCAATTCAGTAAAGTTTTATGTGCCACTTTATATTTCTGAAAAAGTCTCTTACAAAGACTCAAGTGATTTTTTTTTTAATGCTCTAATTGCAAAAGACTTATACCTCATTTTATTTTTAAAAGCCACTGCATATAATTTCTTCCTATCATATGCTTTGAAAGCCAAATACGAGGAAAGGGAAAGGAAACAAAAAACTAGATGCTTTCAAAAATGCCTCCAGGAAAAAAAGAATAACTGGCAATTATGAAAGGAAAATTAAAAACCAAAATGAAACATGATAATTAACAAAATCTACAGTGACTGGACTTTTTCAGTCTTATTTACTAGTTTCCTATAAAGTACACAGTGGAGATCAAACAAAGAAAGATACATATTAAACCACAAGAGACAGATACTTTTAGTCTTGATGTGGTCTATTCATATTCATAAAAAAGTAAGAAGTACAAACACGTGACTACTGCAATGTAATGGTTAAATGCCCAAATCCGCAATATGGCAAGCCTCTGTTCAAGTGATTTCCCCTGAGGAATATGGACTCTGATCAGGGATTTCACTAAGTGTTTTTAATTTGTATGATTTTGTCTTGCTTAGAGTAAACATCTGAGCAAGAAACTTGTGTCTGAATATCATAATTCTGAAGCTTATGCATGCCCAAGAGACTTCGATACTGGAAGATCAGCTATTGATATAAGCAACAAAAACTTCAAAAGAAAACCAACTATTTTTCCAACAGTAGAATTTTCAGGTGTGTTGCCCTAGCTTCATAGCCCTGTTCTCATCATTTCAGCTTTCACTACTTCCATTAGCAAAAGTTTGAATACAGTATTTCAGATTGTGTCTCTAGGTGCCAAAAATATTCAGATAATTTCTTCATCAAAGGAAAGGGACTGAAATGAATAACAACGTACATCTTCCAAATTGAAGGTGTTGAAAAACTTAGGAAGTTACCAATTTAGTCATATTGAGATTTAAGAAAGGTCCCATCTCCCAATGAAGATGACTTATCTGAATTCTGTAACTCCAAAGATTTAAAGAAATTGCAAATGCCCTGTTTCAGTTCTCTCATTCTGCTTCTGCTTGAAAAACATTTTCCTTTCATTTAGAAACTTGTTCTAGGAACTTAACTAAGAAGTCATTAAATGTTAAAAGTGTGGGAATTTTTCATATAACACCCAAACTAATAATTTTTATAAAAAATGCAAATAAATGCTATATGACTTCATATCTTTAGTAACCTTGTCTCATGCTTCTGATCTAAGACAATGTCATCCTGCTGAGATGATACCTAGCATCTCAAAACTGAAGCAGCAAAATTCTAGCAAAGACATTGTCACACATCAGAATGAGAGTAGGGTGGAAACCCTATCTAGTAACATTCAAAGTGATTTTTCACAATCAAAATTCGCATGTCCACCATAAATAAAAGTTGTAACATACCTCCACATATCAAGAAGGAGTGAAAGGGAGAGTAATTCTAGAAACACTATTTTTTTCAGAGTGCTTCCCAGAGTTTAACTAGAAAGCTACATAATACACTGAAAAAATGAGGAAATACAGTGTTGTGGTGGGTTGACCTTGGCTAGTGGCCAGCTGCCCATGAAAGCTGCTCTATCACTCCCCTCTTCAGCTGGACATGGGAGGAAAAAAAACAAGATAAAAGCCACCCCACAGTCCCCACAGCTACCACCACCTTGCCACGCAAACCGATAGCAAGTGTGAGAGCAAACCAGATCAGCAAACCTTACAGTAGTCTCTGTGTTTTAAAACCAGAATTAACATATTAATTTAGGGGTACTCTTTGCAAATGACAGTGTCCAAGAACAGCAAATTTAATGAAAAAATGACTAAAAAACCAAACAAAATATTGGTCAAGGACCTCTGGAAGATCTGTAAGGTATGGATGTATGGCTACATCCTGACAGATTAACATTTATTAACTGCAGCCACCATAATCTGATTGACAAAAAATGCTTCTTTCTGCACCTTTGTACACATGTACCTAAATCTGAATATTTCTGAAGGAAATGCTGAAATGAAAGTAAATGCAAGGCTCCTTTGCGGGAAGGGTGAAAAGCATGCTACAATGCCATTTGTGTGGAGGAGAACACATCCTGCCTCCAAAACTCAACCTGACACATGTGCACAGCCAGAAGCAGAAGCTGGCCTCCACAGTTTACACACACATAAGACTTTTGCTCCCTGAATCGGGCAACACACAGAAAACCTAAAATACTTTAACTCATGAAATACTTTCAGTGTGCCACAGCACAGTATTTCATTTAAAATGCAAAGCATCAGAGAGTGCATGAACCAATTCGGCTACCAGGGTCACTCTGATCACAGCCAAGCAAATATTGAAAATGGCAGCAAGTCTGGAGCTTGAAAAAATGAAGGCACAGGCAGAGGAAGAAGCAGTACTCTGGAAGGTATCACAGGCCATGTACAAATGTAGAGCACACATACAGTAGGACCCACTGATGGGAATCAAGACAAACCTTGAATGGTGTGGGAGCAAAGGGGTTAGTTGGGGAACAACGGAAGGTAACCCTAACTGGATTCGATACCTCCTACAGTAACAGAAAACAGCAATCCACATGTTACAGCACCTCTGGCAATACACAGTACTGTTAATGAATAACTCATTTTCAATTATGGATTCATTTTACTAATTGTAGCAACTTTATTAGTTCTATTTATAAACAGACAAAAGTATTTAATGGTTATTAAGGACCCTGATTCAGCAAAGTAACTTACTGTACACGAACCTTAGTTCAGCAAGAGAACAGAGATGACAAAAGGCCATTCTTATATTAATGCTAAAAAAGAAATTACGCAGAAACTGCAAGACCATTATGTATTCTTTTAAAATATGTGCAATATTTTTCAGAAGTACTTTTGAAAATATAGAAAATACAAGCCATCATTTATATTACATATCTGTTCCCTTTCCTCAGATACAAAACTGTAACAAACATGAAAAACAGTTTTAAGAACACACATGCAATTATATACTACATGTATTATCACAGATGTTCATTGCACATATGATGTATTTGACAACATGGGAAAACAGAAAGGGCACAATCACTTCCAAGATGTAAAACCAGCAAGAAATTATTTTATTAAATCAGAAATGCATGCAAAGAAGAATTAAGCTTTTATTTATTATTGTGTTAGAGGGTAACTCTGTTCCCATTGTGAATAACATGCAGTAAGCACTAATCACAAAAAAAAAAAAAAAAATCTAACTTTTTTAGTATTTCCAAAGATGTCAGCATCTTGTTCATGGTGCATTAAAAGATTTTTCAAGAAGTAGAGGGAAAATATTTTCAGCATCATAAACTGAAAGCTGCTAATGTTTGGATTTTTTCATGCAAAAATAAAAGTGAGATATTAAAGCTGTAAAGTTTTAACCACATAAAAGAAGTACATAGCAGCAAAACACCTCACACACTGATGAGAGAGTTACACTCATGGGGATACTTTAAAATATACCACAGGGACTGATCTTGTATTTGAGAACCTACTCCTCTGGTAGCTCTGAATAGCTCAGATTTAGTAATGACAATCCTAAATTAACAAGATTTTTTTTAATCTTTTTTTTTTCTTTTTTTCAACTAACTTTTGTTCATAATTTTATTAATGTGTCCAAGATGCTAAGGTATCAGAAACTAGCTAGCATTTCCTATAGCACAATGCTGTAGGCATAATACTATGGCATCATAATCACAGTGACATTTTATTTCTTACTCAGAAATAACCAGAGCAGTATTGGCATGAAACACAGACTCAATGGGTAACTCCTTATTAGCAAAATTATCCTTTGCTTAATTAGCTATTAGCAAAGTAGCTTTTCACAGCCCATTTGCATTACTTGGACTATTCTGGAGTACTCAGGATCTCTTTATCTACTAGATAAGCTTGAATGAAAAAAACAAAGTAGAACTGGACTCCTTAGCTACATATCACTTGAAACTGACTTCCTGGCTAAATACAACCTGTATCATATTAAATATAGCTACTCTGTGCAGGCAGCTGGCTATTTGGGTGACTGCACATGAACGAAAGCAGGAAATTTCCTTATAAGATCTCATTATAAAGTACAGATGCAAGTTTCAAAAGATGAAGATAATAAATATAATGCCATTTATGAAGATCACAATGTAATGTATGTGTACAGCAAGAGCAATTGCAATGTTTCTTCTTACAGAGAAAAAAGGGTTTGTTAGTACAGTCAAAAAAAACACAACAAGCTTAATAATTTGAAAATAGAACAAAGAACTACAATTAGAAATAGGAAAGGAGCATTCTCTAAACAAAAGTAAGTTGTGATAAAGTAATGGCATCACTCCCATCCCAAACTGGCCTAAGCATTCAGCAGTGCCAATTCTGTTCATATCACAGCAAACACAAAAGCCTTATTTTAGTAGTTTGAGTATCAAAAATCAACATTCAATAAAGCTTTTTCATGCAACTTTACCTTAGATGACTGACGATAAAATGGGTTAGTAGTTTTCTGCCCACAGGGAGCAGAAGCTGAAGAAGGGCTATAAAGAGACTCTGGCTGGGGAACAAGAGTTATGAGACAACTAGTAAATAAACTCGCAGCTTACACAGACTCTACAAAGAGGAAGTTTAGTTTCTAGTGATGCAAGCAACTTATATTAAAGCTCAGTAGCTTTTGTCTGCAACGTCCATGCAGTTTAGTGACAGAAAACTTCCGTGTACTTCTAGGTCCTTTCATTAACGTCCAAAGAATTTTTTAACAGGTGCTGTATTTCTGCATGCGCTCCTCAGACACGCTGTCAATCTCTAAGAGCTGGTTTTAGTTAGACTCCTACTCTGCCCCCCAACAAATTATCTTTCTTGAGGCTTTTCAAAATAGTTTGTGGACGGAGTGCTGGAGGGTAATTCCAAATCCAAATCGATTTCATTCTAAATGGAAATAATACTTAAATCAAATCATTGTTCCTAAAGTAGCTGAGATGGCACTTTCAGGATTAAATATCCCATTCCCAAACACCACCATCTTGAACATTTGTTTCATTTATTACTATGTATTACATCTCTTTCAATATTCTTAATGCTTACCCTTGGTCTGCTTATAATGCTCTGTACCATAAAGACTACAGGATTGCCTGCCTTCCGTATGGCTTCCACAGCTTGTTCATGGCTGGCATCTCTGAGGTCAATTCCATCCACCTGTAATTGGAAGGCCTCATCTTAACATTGCAAGAAGCTACAAGAATCATGAGTCAGTTTTGAGTTTTGGTTAGGAAACTTTGACTAAAACCTGAGCGCAAACCTCTGTTTCTAGTGGAAAGCTTTCTACTAACTTGGCCTAAAGTCCCTCACACACAGATTTGAGATTTCCAAGAGCACTGAAAGGACATTAAATAAATATTCTCTTATTATTCTGGTTTAAAAACAGGTTTTTCAACATTCTTGGTTCAGGCTCCATTCATTTTTTCCATTGGCAATATAACATATAAGATATGATAATCTGAAGACAGTGGTAGTTTTTGCCAAATACTGCTTCCTGTAAATCCTATCTTAGAGAAATCTGTCTCCTGGGACTTTATGAGATTTACAAACAGAAACTTGTTAGGTGCTGTAGAGTCTTTCACAACGGTTTTTTGGGGGAATTGTTTGTTTGTTTGTTTGCTTTTGAAAAACAAGATAAGACCAATTTTAGCTACTAGGCACTTTCTCCAGAAGTCAAATTTTTAGGTCAGAGCTGAAAAGCTTTCTCTCTTCTAGAAGAAGGCACTTACAAAGGATGGCTAAGGATAAATTTTTGCCTGGTTGTTTTTCTTCATGTCTTCATATATATTAGTGCGTGAAAAAAATTTGTCAGGTAAGAACAATGTTAAGGTGAGGTTAGCATCAGTAAAGTATTCTCACAAGGACCACAACAAAAGCTAGAAGCTAACACAGAAAGGTTATTTGTTAGTGGTAATTTTTGCACACAAAGTTATATGACTTTATATGACAACTTTTTAATTGTCTAACTCTACCTTAAACTTAACCATTCGATGTAAATAAGAGAGCACAAAAAGAACCTGAGAGAAATTCTAAACCTATGAGTAACTGAACAAAGGCTCTCCAACTCCCCGTGTCTATACTGTATGCAATAGTGGAGATAAAGCTCAGATATGTCACAACCTGAGAAACTGAAATAATCCATTCAGAAACAGTCACATTAACATAACATTTTAATTTCACTCACCCATTCCAACTTCTGCAATTATCACTGTCAGAGCCAACTGCACTCATAAAAATCCAGTTATTCAAATAAAATGACTATTTCTATTTTGTGGCCATCAAGCAAAATTCCAACTCCCGTCTTGTTATAACAAACATCTTGTTATACCAAAAACTGTTCCATCCTATTGAAGAAAGTGCTACTTATACTAAGGTATTATTTCAAGATCTTTGATAGGGATCTTGTACCAAACAGCAAACTGCAGCTCAGTGCCACTGTGTAAAGCAAGCCCAGTTTGACCCAGAATCACCATCTCCGTCACCCCCCTTGTTACATTCTTACTGATGGACAGTCAGCTAAGGACATCCAGCAGGATGGAGGGCAGTTCCTAAGAGCCTGATGCTGGAGACACGGTAATGCCTGACACTGATAATCATCACAGGGAAGACCTATTCTTTCAGCACGTTCATTCTTCAGTATCTTTAAGCAAGAAAGCAAAAGTGGCTGTATGAACACAGGACTGGCTAAGTAGAAGAGAAATCTAGATAAATCCCTTCATGCAACACCAATGGCTACCTCACCCTCAGGCATGGACACAAGTGTACTTACTTTCTCAAACATCAAACCCAGATTTCTTCATGTTAGGAATTAAAAAAAAATGTGTCTCCTTCAATTACTGCATAAGATGCATAAGAATGATGTGATATGATTAAGATTTAAGAGGGAAATAAGCTTGGTATTTATTTGCATGATCTGCACTGGCCATTTCTGTTGCTACCCAACAGAACAGTGAAATCTTTTAGCTTCACCAAACTTAAGCTTTTTCCTACACATGCTGGCTTTAAAAAAGGCAGGTTGAACTGCTCACATAGTCAGTCATCTATGCTTCAGGTTAGATATTCAACTTAACAGACAGCTGACTGCACATAAACATCAGCAGATGGTAGCACAGTCTGCATGGCTCAAGTGGTGTCAGCTGGAGCAATTACACAGCTGTCAGCCCAGAACTACAAATCCATCTCAGCGGCTCCTGAGATGCTGGGGGAATTGCAGCAAAAGGCATTCAGCTGGTACCTCTACAATTCGATCTCCAGTTTTCAGAGTTCCATTTTTGCCGGCTGGGCTGTCTTCCAGGATGTGCTTGATAAAGATCCCTCTCATCACTTCTCCATTACTCAGGCGGCTCCCCATCCCTCGTCCTCCAACAATGCTGATCCCCAATGACTTGCTAGGCTCTCTCCAGAGTTCAACCCTGTTGTGAAAAAACAAGGGCCAAAATAAATGAAAATCTGTTGTGATTATGACAATGCTGCATACTGAAGACACCTGGATTTGCACAGTTATTTTATTCTGAAATAACCCTCCTTGCAAAGTTTTGTTTTTCAGTTGGAGTTATCGTCTGAATTGCTCAGCAGGTCTGTAATTGAGTCTAGTGTTGGTCACTTTATTTTGGATTCTGATAAAAACTTTGAATCCTTCTATTCATCTCTTCTTTCTGGATCCCAAAGAATCAGCCTGGGATAAGTAAAGATAAATTACTAAAACAATCAAGACACTATTAGATTTAGCCCAATGGCAGTAAAAATCAACTCCTGCAATGCACAACATACATAATTGCAACAATTCTGCTGGTTTTTTACTCCTCTTAAAATATACTATGTGTTTCAAAATTTTTAAATTTCATATGACATTTTATTCTGTGCGACTAGATCTGCACTTACTTTCTGGGCTGGTTCCAGTTACTGAAAGCTGCATTTTGAAGTTCACTTTCTTCTCCCTCCCCCTCTTCACGTTCTGGAAGCTCTGGGAGTTCCCTAATGATGAACAGGAACATGCAATTCATTTTTAACAAACTCATATAATGATTAGATTTTTCTGAAAAATTTCACGTATTGAATCACCCTGCCAGCACTAGAATTTGTACACAGGATTCACATAAGGAATTTCTTCTTCAGATGTCTGTTAGAATACATTTGGTGTTTGGGGATTCTCCATTCACTTTTTTCTGCAGTGAAGTCGCTATCCACAACCACAGACTAAAAGACTATGCAATTTGGAACAAGAACCAAATCAGAGATAAAGGTAATTATTGACTGTTTTCAAAATGGAATAAATAACAACAGCACTTTAAAAATGTTACTGCTTTTGGAGATGAATTTAAAAAATCCCCAAATATTATTAGTCACTTTGAAATTTTGGACTGTAACTGCAATGAATTTTTGAAACTCAAGGAAAGGATGGCAGAATTAGTTCTTTCCACTTACATTCTGGGAAGACCATCAATACTAAATTCTTATGTTGAAGATACTGAGTATTTGTGGCAACATATAAATCAAACTGCATGGTATTCAAGAGAAATTCAGGATGAAACAGAATTCAATCTCCTTTTTGGGCAAATCAAACGGTATGAAACAGATCAAACCTTGAAAAAATGTTCAAAAAATTTTCTAGTCAAAGCAAAAACTGTATTCTGAACAGCTTTTTATTGTAACGGCTGCTGGTCTGAAGAAAATCACGCATTTTTCGTCTCTTCCAAAACAAAACTTATCTTCCCAATATCAGTAAAGTGTATGGGAAGAGCTGCATCTGAGAGCTCTGTGGGAGAAAACCATAAGCCTTTTGACTCACCTGACAATATGTGACGGAAAAAGTTCAGGTGGCACAGCTCCCTCTGTCTCTTGTCCCAAACCGACCCTGTACTCATCTAAATTTTCTGCTGGCACATATGTAATACTGCAATAAAATGGGACATGATTAAAGTAGCATGAGGACTGCCGGTCCTCCCTTTGGTGGGTGTGAGGTATGGATATGAGGAAGCCACTCGAGACTACTTCATTGACTTCAAAGGCACAATGCAAGTACATTGGGAGTAAGCTGTTATATGAATCCCTTTGCAACAAATATGCATTTATAGTCAAATTAAGTAGCTGAGCAGCACATATATTTCTGTAATTAAAATAAATGGTGCTTGAACAGTGACCAGAGTGTTAACAGAGACAATCCAGCTTCAGTTAAATACAGAGTCCTCAAGGAAAGACAAACACTGAAGGATTTGTGAAGTCTGAGGCACCATTACCACACTAAATGACTGCTGAAAATGTTTCTGAAAGTTGGATTGTAGGAGGTTTTGTGCTTTCCTGTGTGGTTTTGTATTTATTTTGTCCACAGATTTGGACATACAAATGTGTTACAGCATGCCACCTACGCTCCAGGGAGCAATCCCCTGCTCAATTCCTTCCTCCACCCCTTCATGCACTTCTAGGCAGTTTGGGGCAGTCAGATAGTCATGTTTCACCAACCAAATGACATTCAGACTCTACTCAGTGTTTGAATGCCAGAAACAGAAATGGTCCAATAGAATGGGGAGGAGGAAACAAAAGGAAGGAAAAAAAGATTAAGACATGAAGAATATTTCTTAAAAAACTCCACTCTATAGACAAAAGGATACCATGATATAAACAGGGCTACTTAGATGGCCCTCCTTTAATGATGCTTTGTCTCCTTAAAAGCATCTAGTTCTACAAAAAGTAGCTTATTGTCAGATACAAGTCTGCCAAGAAATAAGGTTAATGGAAAAAAGACAAGGGAAAAAAAAGTCTGTCTACTCATACATCACATTGTTAAAAGAAAAATTAACATATTTCCCCACAGAAGAGACAGAGGAAAAAAAAAAATCTGGACCACTTCACAAGGATGTGTAAGCTGCTGAGGAGAGACTCTTTCAGCTCTGAGGCTAGAACCTGGAGCTGTCTCCTGTCTGTCATTCCCTGACTGAAGTTCTCTGTCTGACTGTATCACTTTGCCAAAACCCAGAGACCTCCTGAAGAGGAAAAGTGAACTTCCAAACCCTTAGGGAGTCCCAAAATGCAACAGCAGCTAGAGAGAGAAAGAAAGGAGCTGAAAAACTCTGAGTTGTCCTGAGAGCTGAACCAGAATGGAATGCGGAGGAGGTGGTCCTGCCCTCTGCTGCTGCTACCATGCTAGCAAGCTGAGAAAGAGCAGAGGAGCTCTGGTAAGACTGAACTGAAAGCTGCCTTAAATGCTCTAACCCAAGAGAAGTGAAGGTCTCCAAGAAAAATCCCCTGAAGGCTGGGGCTCGGGATTGGAATTTCCACAAAATAAAAACAAAAATCCTGACTGCCATACTTAAATCTGCTGCCTCAGAAAAATGAAGGACACTAACCAGTGCCACAAAAAACTGAAATGAAGGAACTGTGGCCTGAGGAGTGACAGAAAGACTTTTCTCTTTTCTTCTTAGGCTTTTATTGAAGGAAAAGAGGAATTTAATTCAATGTAAATATATATATGTGTGTATAAATAAACCTTCGTAAATATTTTCCCCTTCCCCCAATAACGAATGGTTGTGTTTTGTCTGAAAACTCTCCACATGAAGTGAAGAAGATATCAAGTCCGTACCATCGATAAACCCTCTCACAGGGACAAACTGTGGGAGGGGGGCTTGAACTTAGAAATTAGATTCTTGAGTTTCAAACCACCACACTGTTACACCCTGACTGCCACTGATTCCCCTTCTCACTGGTTCTCTGCTGGATACAGCAAGCATCAAACAGCAGCTCAAATTAACTTTTATATGACTAATGCTGTCAGTTCAAAGCACTCTACCAAAATTATCCTAATGACCACATTTATTGGTCATCTTGGTCTGTGTCCCAGCATGTTCCCTACCTCCTCTCACATTTACCATATCTAGAAAAGTGCAAAGAAGGTCATTATGAAAGTGCTGAACAGAAGGAACTCCACAGTTCTCTAATGGAAATTTCTGAAACATCCATATTATCACCAGCTTTTCCTCTTCTTTCAATCTCCTCCAGGTTGTACTTTGGCCCTTTTTTTCAAGCACTGAAGTGTTACTGTGCTTGACACAAAGTATTTTCCTTTTGAAGTGGTGGGAAGTTAGCATACACTAGAAAACAAACACTCAGCAGAAGGTCACTGACTCTTATCTGCCTTTCCTGAGGGCATTCTAGCACTGGGAAAGACTAATGACATGCAGCAGTGAAGACCCAGCAGTGAAGACCCAGCAGTGAAACATCAACACAAGAGAGGAAAGAACTTTTGAAAATAATCACTACTACTTCTTAGCCACCTCAAACTCCAGGTGTGTTGAAATATAGCAAAGTGCTAGTACTATGCTCAGAAAACTCTCACAGGTCAAATGCTGATGCAGATGCTCCACCCAGTAAGCCCATAAGGATACCTTGCCTCTACAAAAGCTACAAGATGTGCAAGTTGCATTTCAATGTAAGAAAATGTAACATTCATTAAGTTACAATAATCAGTTTCACCGCAATCAAATTCATCAATTTTCACCCTATAAAAACAAGTAGGAAATAATGTATTTTCCCTTGGTAGACAGCTGCAGTAAAATAACCCAGAACTGCAAACAATGTTTCTGTTGACTGGAAGGCTCAGACAATCTCCTTTATGCTAAACTGCAGCTGTTCAAAGTATGGAAAGGAGAGTGGCACACTCCTACAGAGCAAAGGGATAAGCCCAGATCCAGCCTGGATGTATACAGCAGAATGTGATCTCTGACAGTACAGTGTCCAGTATCTATCAACTCTTGTCTAGTCCTTTTGTGCAAGGGGCACACGGCAAGCAATTATGCAGGGTGCCAAGGTTCAAAGGTAGTAGTAGTCCTTACCTCTCGTATGTCAGCATTAGAGGTCAGCTAAGAGTGAGGCAAACCATGTACACTCCAAGTTCTGGGATATCCTATGGTTTTATATGATTTAGTAACTGATATTGTGCTGGAACATTTAAAAGGTATGACACAAAGGATGCTCTTAAAGAGCCTCATATGCTACTTAGTAGCATCTCCGAAAAGCTGCCTTACCTTCCCTTTCTGTGTACAGCACAGGAGCTAAGGAGAGAAGTTCGCTCCACCATTTTAAAAAAAAGCATCTAAAATTGAGCAATTGAATTACCTAATTGATTTCCACAGATGGAATAAAATTTAGATAGTCTCATTGGGAGTTGTTACATATTAGCTCTTTGGAAAAATACATTATTTCTATTCTAGAGCTTAACTACAGTTTCAATAGTGTATTTTAAAGCACTCAAAGGAACATCCAGTGTGTTTTTAACTGTTCATTCTTATCTACAACTAAATTTCAGTAATGCTTCAGCTATTTCTCAAATATAAACCAGAACACTTGCATTTTGCAAAAAAATAGCATAGAAAAGAAAACTAAATTACATGGATCAAATACACGAAAAGTTATATGCTGCGTAATTCACCTTTGTTTCTTGCTCATGATTTCCAAAGTTCAGTTAATTGCAAAGGTTTCCCTACCTGCTCTTTTTATCTAAGCTGTATTATTGATGTGACTGTCCTCACTCTCTCCTTTTGCATGTTATTGTAATGAAAAGTTATACTTAAAAAACCTCTGTCTGATGTAAATTACAGTTTTAGGAAATATGTATACCAGAAAGTAGTCTTTGCTATGAGGCATTCAACCTGATTCTGCCTTCTGTAACACTTGGTAAGGTCACATTGTATTAAAGACCTTCAATTTACATGAGTTTTTTCCCTGTTAAACATGAGCAGACATGCTTTTCCCTGTACTCATGAGCAGACACTCCCCAGTTATCAAATCCATCACTTGCTGGATTGCTACTGTAGCTCACTTGGAGGTCACATTGAGGTCTGATGATATCCAGCATCATCCTGAACAGGTCAGCCTGTGACTAGGATGATGAGGGGCCCAGAAGAAGTGCATCGGGCTCCTCTGACCGACTCTGTTGAACCTTGTGCTGTACAGTGGAAATAAAAATCCACTCTGGCACCTGAATGGTTCATCTGCAAAACAGACTGGCAATTGCCTTGATACAGTTACAGGGAAGACAGTAAGAGTAAAAAATACCAGAAAACAGGGATGAAGACACAGAAAACAGGAAACAAGTAAATTACTGTTTTACTTCTGAGCTGTATTTCCTAGCTGCAAGAAAAGTTGAAGTTCAACAACTTCAAAGGAAAGTATATGATCGTTTAACCATCTCCTCTCTTTCAGAGCTGTATAGCTTGAAAGAGAAAGTGTTCTGGTCTTCTTTCTTGAGAGATATAACCACTTCTACCCCAGAGGTATGCACTAGCAACTAAAACAGTGACAATGGAAACACCAATGGTTGTACATATGAAAGTATCTTGTAAATATGACACCGCATGCAGTACAGAGGAACATTTATCACATGCTTAACAGTCACACGAAACCTTGAAACACCAACAAACCAATTAACAAAGTATGGAAAATGTTCAGGACACATTACTCTAACAAACATTTAAGGTTTACTTTGAACCTCTTTATACATGAAGTAAAATGTAAGTGCCACAGAAAATATGACACTGAGATTAATCCAGATATCAGTACAAAGTACTCATGCCAATTCTAGCAGTGAACCTTGTACACATACACACACATGCACACGTGCTCTGAGCACATCTTGGGTGGCCGTCACAGATAAAATTTAAAAATATTAGCCATAATTTTTTAGAATACAGGTATTTTCACTTCAGACTTTAAAAGTATGCTCGAATCTTCAAGTTGAAAGCCATACATATAAATACGAGTATACACCCACACTCATATCCTTTTTTAATCAAAAAATGTATATATATACATCCACATGTGCAGCCACATGTGCATGCACACACGAACATACGCAAGGAAAGACAGAATAGGTACCTATATCTGGATATATCCCTGACATTACTATTGATGTCATAAAAGCATGGAATGATTTTAGAGACAAGTTGCAACATAGAGCCATAATGAGTGTCTGAATTGCCAATACTCACACATAACAGAGGGCCTGATCATCAGCAGGTGCTGGAGAAGATCTAGAATGTGAAGCATACGATGCAGCATCTTTTTACAATGGTGTTAACAAATGTTAATGTCTCATGCTGAATGTGAGAGGTATATTTATGTAGTTAAAAGTGTGAGCTGCTTTTTTTTTGTCCTTTTTTTTCCCATTCCACCTCTGCTTCATCCCAGAAAGCATCTGCTCTTTATTATTGTCTATAGCAGTGATTATTAACAGGCATGGAAAATGGAATTGCAATCTACATTACTTCTTGATCAGGAATTCATCCCCACACTTCAGTCAGGTGAATTCTAATACACCTCTAGTAATTATCTGACAGATGTTACAAGCAGCTGCTGCTGAGCACAAAACATTGGCTATTATTACAGAAATATAAAAGCTCCTGGCAAGGTAGAGTGAGACATGGAACAGAATGCATTCTGGTAAGACCATACATCTGGTTTACCACACATAAAGGAGAAAAAAATTAACTATCTAAATCTGAAGCTCAGATTGCTGGTTCTTGACCTATTCAAAATGAAATTTCCTTTAATAAAATTTAACAAAGCCATTAAATGGCCAGTAATAATGGCTTTGTATTTTCTCTGCAAATACTGTTTGCTGCTGAAATACAGCTTTGACAGTAAAGTACTCCTACTTAATCACTTTTTGGGGGCAACCTGCTAGCCAAAAGAAGCTCAGTCTAAAAGTCAAGGTGCCAATATTGCGATAAGGACAGAGAAGAATGATATCTCAATGGTCACATCCAAGTGCTAGTGTAGCCTTGCTTCCCAAGGAAGACACTAAAGAGATCCAATTTAAATATTTGAAATGCTGGCCCTTGTATCACAAATGCTGCAAGGTGATGCACCACATTAGCTCTGAATTGACATATACAGATGTGTGTGTGTGTCTGTGTGTGTATCCCTCCCAGAAAACATGAATTATCAGGACATAATGCTCCTTATCTACAATTTCTGATTTGAGACATTATCCACTCACTTTAAAACCTTATTATAGTAATAAGATGAAGAACATAAATACAAAAAAACCCCCACAAAATCTTAATTAAAAACATGAATAGCATCTGCCCCTTTTCTGCAAAATCTTTCAGAAAGAGGATGCACTTTTCTCTGGAAAATCTGAATATTCACATCTAAGGCAAGATTTTAGTATTTCCAACGTATCTGCAAAAGACTATAAAACAAAACTTAAGTCAAACAGTGTAAAACGCAGCAGCTATAAAAGAATAAGCACAAATAATGAACACATCTGTATTTGATCATGTAACTACAGCACTAATAAAGGACTCCTCATAGAAGAATGGTGCTGCAGCAGTTGTGTATCTAAGCAGATATATACACACACATGCACATGCACATACCAACTGATATCAGTCATGACAGTTAGAATTACAGTTTGGAAGCCTACAATAATAACCAAGGACACATTTTATCAACATTGACTTGTCAGTATATAAATACATTAAACATTGACAATAATGGAATTCATTATATGAGCATACCCCTTTATTTCAACAATATTACATTAAATCATAATCCTAAAGGCATGACAACTATGGGGCAGACAATTAAACTACAACCCACAGTGAAGGTATTTTGACCACCTGTTCCCAGAATGCCAGGTCTCTTCAAAGTAGAATACTTCTGCAGAAATATGGAATGCCCAGCTGTCCAGTCTGAACTGACAGAAATCACAACTACCTGGAACCACACTGGGATTGGGACTGATCTCTTTCAAAGCCACCATCTTAAATAAGTAGAGGCTTCTATTACCCACAACTCCATGAATCCCATTTGTTTATCTGACCCAATCCATGTTACCACAGGTCTGAGAAAACCAGCCACTAGGTTTTGAAGTTGCAAAGCCAGCATTGGCGTGTCTACAGCACCATCCACAGCTTCAGGAACAAGTTAATTTCTAGACGGTGCATGAGGGTAAAGTTAACTCCACAACTAAGACAGCAAGAAAGAAGTGTACTTTAAGGCAGAGTTAAAATTCTGCACATTGTGTGAACTTGAGAAGAAACTTTCTTATCAACTGGGTATCTCAAAACTTGTATTAATTACTACACATTTAAAATAGTACTCCCAAGAGCAGATATTTATGCACAAGAGCAGGAGTTTCTTTCTATATACTGATAAAAAATTGGAACTGACTTCAGAAAACAGGGTGTTTCTGCTGTTTGTCACAGATGTACTGATATGTTTTAAGCATTATTTTTCTGCATTAACATCATATGTCATACTTTCCATCTGGCAGTCAAAACCAAAACTCATTATAGAGATCAAATGAAATCACTTGTGTAATGGCCAGGATAATCCTCCTTTAAGAACCACAAACATCTTGAGGAAATAATTATTTTCTTTAGAAGAGTAATGAATGCAAAATTCTGACTAACCCCATTCTTTCAGTAAAACCATGCAGAGCAGTAATGATGATGCTTACTCATGACAGTAATTTTCCTAAGAATATCCAAAGTCTCACACAAGTGATTTTATCTTTGAAATTCATGAAAATGTAATTGTAGCATTAAACCTCCATTATACAGGGAAACTGTTGTTTAAACATGTCTTAAAATGGCTTTTGGTGGTCCTCTTTGCAAACACATGCTTCTTCCTCCCAGCACCCCCCATGTTATCTATGCAGGAATGTCCTGCATAGCCCCCTTGTTATCCATGCAGGAATGTCCTGGGAAGGTGTCCTGAGCCCTTCCTGTGATTGGGTGTTCCTGTAAACCCCTTGAGACTTCTAATTGGTTACTCTGTGAATCCTCCTAAACCCTATAAATGTAACATCCCCAACAATAAACGCTCTCTTGCCTCCTCTCCATGCTCGGTGTCCTGTCTCCCTGCCGGCCATGGGGCCACGTGCGGGGGGGGGGAGGGGGAAGCACCTTTCCCCTCCAGGCTCAGGGCCTGAAAAGACCCCTGAGAAACCCCTGGAGTTCCCTTTCCCCATCCCTCAAAGCGTCGCAATGGTTCTTCAGATGGAAACGGAACTAGAACTGGGCCGCCCCACGCCGTGGGTGGGGAAAGGGATCCAGATGTAATCTGAAGGTGAATTATCCAACTGAAGCTGTAACTTAAAGGTAAATTCATGTGTAAGAACATACAAAATTTTCACTTAAAATACTTGCATAAATAACCAATTTTCAATTATTAGCTCTTTCCTACCACAATTCAACATCTGGCTTTACCTACTTTATATCTGGTCCAATGAGTGAATGCCGTCTCAGCATAGCCCGGGCTTGTGCATTGGTTAAGTTAGTGGTTGACTCTTCATTAATGGACAGGATGCAGTCCCCCACACCAATCCGCCCATCACGACTGATTGAGCCTCCATGGATGACACTGCGAACTATCATTCCCAAGCCATCTTTATTGGAGCTTACTGTCATCCCTAGAGTGAAAACACATGAAACAATTAATGTCTTTGAGCCTCAGCTCTGGGTGCCAAGACAAGGAAATGAAACCTGGGCCACATGGGAGGTAAAAGTCAGTCAGCCAACCTGCCAATATCAGCAAGCCTATAAATGTTGCTCTTACTCTCCCTTGCATTTCTTCTATCCAACAGGAGACAGCAATTACAAATAGCAATCATAGTACCTTTACTTCACCTTGTTGTCATTTCACATACTAGGCTCTACATAAAAAAATTAAGACACTGGAAAATTTAAGCAAAAAATAAACAAAAAAGGTAATGAAATTGCTTCAAATTCACCTCTTGTGATGGTTCATCGAGTTTATACGTTTCAGTTTAGTTTATGATGATTCTCTTTGGAAAGAAGGTCAAATGATTAAACAGGTAATTAGGAGCACAGGCCCAATACAAACACACACTTATTTTCAACAGAAAGCCTGAATCAGATCTCACTGAGATAGCGACTGCCTTACCACTCTCCTAGGTGGGCCACAGCTTAGGCCCAGAAGAGTGTTCTGTGAGAGTCTCTGCTTTGCTTGTGGATACAGTCCACTATTTGAGTTACACCACGGTCCCACCTGTGCCACAGCAGGACTCCAGTTCTCTATATTTACAAATACCCTTTAACGCCACTTTCTTCTCACTAATGGGAAATGAGACAGATATTCTCTCACCGCTCCTTCCCCAGGGGGAGCCCACAGGGACTTACTCGTGCTGGGCTTCACATGTCTGTGAATGTTCTTACATGCATGAGTTGTCACCGTTATTTGCAGGGCACTTGGTGCTCATGAAATAAACCCTGATAACAGTTTCAGGAAAAACTGTTCTTCACTAAAGCAGTGGAAAGGCAGCTGTAGGGTCAGGACCCTTAAGTCTACCCAGAGGACTTCCACTATCTTACTACTGCCAAACATGGTACTTTTCTTTGTGCACTAACATGAAAGTTTTCATTTGCTAATAAGGTAAAGCCACTGAAATAAGAGCATCTTATAGAGGAATATCTACTGGAGAAGGAGGCAGTGACTACCCCACTGGGTTCTCCTGGTTTCCAATGTAAAACATCAGGCTAGCAAGCACTGGGAGTGCAGCTGTACGTCTGCAAGTGCTTACCTTACTGTCCAGACTGTGAGTGGACAGAAGATGATAGCTACCAGAGAAAAACCTCCAAGAATACTAGCTAAATAAATTCCAACAATTTATATACAAACATGGCTACAGAAGACACAGTCTGAACTCTTTATTTTGTGAACTTAGACTTGGGAAACAGACTGGTTGAACAGAGTTTATAAGGCAGCTGTTAATTCCAGGCTACCCAGGCTCAGCCGGCCATACAAACATCTGACTATATATTTGTCTCAGAAAAAAAAATAAAATACTGTAAACATTTAAAGAATAACCATAATTCAGATATTAATTTGTGGGGTTTAGGGCTCTTTTCAGAAAATAAGAATCTTTTAATAGTGCTAGTTCCTCACATCCCCTTGCAGTTGAGATCAACATAGTTGTCTAAAGTATGAGAAGGTAGTCCTGCCTAGTAAACTGCTCAATAATGTTCTTAGACATAGGAATACATGTACTTTGCTACTTTGGTATGTGGAAGTCAAGGTCTAACTTTGGAAAAACTGCAAAACCCATCTTCATGATGACCCTTTATATTAAACTGCTGAAAGAATATGGTGTTACTACTGACTGGAGTAGTAACACCATTTGTATGTATTATTTGCCAGTTAATAATGTAGGTGTGGACAGGTGTAATTTGGAGATGAGTGTATCAGATTTGTAATACAGACAAAAATGCCACTGATTTATTGCCTTGCTACTAGAAAAAGCAGAGGCAAACTGTATATCATCTACTCCTCAGGTCAGTAACATTACAATACTAAGCACATCACAGGTGCCATCCTGGGGTGAGTGCCCCATTTTTTACATTCACATGTTCCTTCCAAGAAGCATCTCTTGACAGATCTGCTCATATAGATTTTACTCAGTCAGATCTGAATTCAAACATAACTGCAAGAAAGTGATCTCCACCAGAATACAAGCAGTGTGCACAGAAAACTGCCAAGGAAACAGGTGAAATGAGGTTTGAAATTCTGAACCTAACTTAGCTGTCTGGTTAAGACAGTAACAAACATGCATAACTGAGGGTAGTGTAATAGCACTTCAAAAAAAACATCACACGGACCCGTACAAACCCCTCCCCTGTTTCTATGCTGACATCATCATTACAAATCTGTAAGGCTGTGGACAGCTACAATTTCAGGTTAAAAATGCAAATACCACTGGTAAGTTGCCAAATGATCTATACAGGACAATGGCATTTCAGCTCTTTTTCTGCATTTGGGTGCTGTCTTCTTAAAAAATCACAGTCAAAATGTTAGCTTTCCAGCTGTGGCTGGATTTGAAGAGCTGCTGCAAACTGTAGGTGTCAGAGACTGAAACAGTTAATGATTTACACATTCTAAGATCACTAAAACACTTTTGCAAACTGAAAAGAAGCAGCTGCTCACCCAGCAAAGCCCAGGCCCCCCAGTACTGCTAAAGGATCAGATAAGTGCATGCCATTGTCCAGCTATCCTGGGTGCAGATGCCTGCCTGAGGAAGGGAAGAGGCTAAGAAGAGGCAAGTCCTGCAAGGTGGAAAATCCCTTTTATCACGCCAGTGTAAAGCCTTTACATGAACTCTGCACATCTAGCCTGGGCTATACATCTCAAATGTTAGACCCTGATGGACCATGATTGATGCTGGTACAACAGGCAGTTGCAACAGTCTTTGGAGATGCTGGAGGCTCATGGCATGGCCCATGACACTATCCATTGTAAAACTCCCCACCCTGGGGAGCTACAAGGTGTTCCCATCTGAGAAGAAAGTGTATAATAACTCATAACTTCTTTGAGTTTTGAGCCCCAACGGATCAAGATCACCACTTCAACTAACACACAGACGCTGCAACTGCCAAGTTTCATTGCTGGATCCAATGGGCGGTGACTATATAGATCTCTCCACCTTTATCCTTTCTTTCCCTCCCTCTCCCTTATGCATTTCCTTAAGTGCTATCTTTGTGCTCTAATGATTGCTATATTACTATAGATGATATTGCTGTAGATGCTGTAATACTGCTATGCTTTAATAACAGGGCTATACTGCTATGCTTTAATATTTCTAAGCTTTAATAGTCATATTGCTGTGCTCTAATGTTGCTTTATTGCTATAGATGCTTTAATATTGCCATATTGCTACAGAATAACACCCAAAACAGCAACATATCTGTTTACCTTTTGAAACTAAATTGTTCCAAAATAAACCTACATATATATGTATTCAAACACCCATTAATCAGTGTCATTTCACTCTAGTCTACCCCAGGGGATTTATTAATAAGAACCTGGGTTATCCTCCCCTTTCTGGGCCAGGTAGCAACAATGGTGACACCGTTAAAAAGGAAAAAAGAAGTGCCAGTTCTCAACTGAAGTAATTGATGCAGCCGCAGCTTTCAACATCATTCACAGCTCTTGATTTACCTCCTTTGCAAAAATTAAAGTTAAAAGCAGTGCAGCCATGTGTGTAAATTGGTCACTGTGCCCAGGCTGCTTCCCAGGCCAGAGAATACTTAGCCTGGAAGAAAAAGACTGGTCCAAAGCCAGCAGAAAGCGATATTCACATTCATATTTTGTATATATGAATAGAGACCAGAATTACTTTCATGTATATAATGTCTGCCAACGTGGACCATCTTCCAGATTTGTATTTTCATGCTTGACATCAAATTTGCTTTGTATGTTCACTGCACTTAAAACACTCAAACAAATAAATGAAAACCTGCTTTATTGAATTAACAGTTTTTTGCAAGGAAAACTTTTTTTACAAAATCCAGATGCTTGGAAATGCACCGTGACCTGCACTTTATACAGCCTGACAGTGAGAACAGTAAAGGTAGTAGCTAGCCAAGCACCTCATACCAATGAAAGGTAAACCTTAGACTTTTTCCACAGTTTTATATTTTAGAGACCTTGATTTTAAACCCGATCAGTTCCCAATCCAGTTTGAAGGATGGCTGTATCATAAAGGTGACGGGTGGCAGACTGAGCATCCAGTCATCAGAGGGCATTTTATTCCAGGTGAAAGAGTCCACTGAAGTACAGCATCACAGCTGTAAAAAAACCAACACCCACCTCTGCACAGCAGAGGAATCCTAAGTGGGAACTGTTTATAAACATCTGGTTCTGTGGACAGCCCATTTTAAAGCATTTGTGGAGTTTTTGCAAACAGTCAGCACCCACACAAAGTAGTGCCCTACCAACTCCAGAGAGTCTTCAAGGATGTGCAGTTGGCTGGAAGAAGCAGCATCAGAAACCTAAACCAAACCAAACGAACACACCAGCCACAAATGGGAAGGATGCACCACTGCCTCTCAACAAAAAGCCTTTCCCGCACTGGCTCTGGGAAGGTTCTGTTCCTGTTCTCCCCTTCGCACTGCCAAGGACCACACCAGAGATTAGGACAGGACAACGACAAACATTACCATCTGTTGTGCCTGTTTGCTCCAAAACGTGTCTCTAGTCAGTATGCTCAGGAAGCTGCAGATTGCAGATATTTAAAAACTCTGAACTTCATTACAAAATGATAATACTGAGCCAAAAATACTACCTATTAAATTAATCAATTACATGATTTTTCAGAAATTTTGCAGCACTTCAGATATAAGTATGAACTTGTAGCAAGGAAGTGAACAGCTTGTTTAGACCCTTCTGACCATCCTCAGGAAGCAAGATCACTTTGTGCTTGCAAACATTTGAAATTCTAGTCTGAAGTTCTTTGGCCAAAGTGTTCTTCTATGGCGCTCCTTGGCTACATCTTGTTTTTCCACTATATTAGTACAGACATAAAAAACCAGTGCATTAAAATTGTTCTGTTAATAGCTTGAAAGACTAACCTCCTTTATGGGAAAACAAATTCTCAGTGAGACTGGGCACTTCACTTTTGTGTCCACAGTGACAGCACATGGATTCAGCGCCATGACAGTCAAAAAGGGCAAGAGCAGCAAAGAACGAATATCCTGTCCCCATCAAATGGAAAATATTTAGTCTTTACTACTAAAACATACAAGGAAAATGGAAAGCCATATTCCCTGCAACGTTACAGAAAATGTTAGCTAACTTACCCAGACTCGAATTGCCTTTTGCAATTGTGATAGTCTTCTCATACATGTTTTTGACCGAATTTGGGATTGTGAAACTTCCCTCCAAAGATACTGGGCATCTCTTCTCCATTAAAAGCAATGGATCCTAACACAAGGGAAAATAACATCAGTTCAGAATACTGACATAAAAATAAAAATATAATTGGTCATACTGATCTCAACTCACTTTACCTTACACAAAAGCTATGTGCATAATTAAGACAGATTCCTTACACAGACATTGAAAAAGTCAATCCATCAAAGATCAAACCAACATACCTGAGGTTTGTGTTTTCATTCAGGTAATATACCAAATCTGTCACAAAGTATACTTTTAATTTAGAGACATTAGTTACACTCTTAAAATTAGTAGGATGAATTCAAGGGCTTCAGACTTGTTCACCACAGATGTCTGACAATCTGCCAGTACTAAAGTAACGAATATTGTAAGAAATTGCAGCTCTTTCAAGCATTTCTTAATAAATCACTGAATGGAATAAATAAGAAACACATCACAGTGACTATCATATAAAGGAAGATTATGCAGCATCACAGGTCAGTTTGTGAGCTGACCTGCATAGGCTTGCATGAACACCATGATGCAAGACATTCATACCACTCCCCCTCGGCTTCCTAGGCCTGTTTCCAGCTGGGCACCTCCTTCTTGCACTCATGTCCCTGTGAAGGTTAATAGGGGATAAGAAAATCCCCCTGTCCTGCCCAGTGGGTACACTGTGGTCCTGCAGTATCTAACAATGTGAGGTCTGAGCAGACTTTTACAGACCATTGTACTGCCAGCCTCTCAGAAACTACTATTGTGATGCCATAAATTATGTCCTGTTTTGGAAAGATCTAAATTCTGCAGTTTTGATGTGAGACAACACATCTGATGAACATTAATAATCAAAGAACTATACACAGCTGCTGGCCAGTCACAATTTCTGTAGGAAATGTTACGGTCTAACAGAGCCTTTCTGTAGGGTTTTTTTAAATTATTATTTAAAAAAAATAAATAGCTTTACTTTTCCTTGGGGATCAAGCTGTGTGGTAGTAGCAAGGCTTGTATTTAGCGCAACTTCTGATGCTGTCTGAGATTCAGTCCATGTTGCTGTGTTTTCACTTTCATTTTGGTTGATATTCGAAACATCCAGAGGCAGGAGATCCGTTTTAGTAAAACCAGTTGCAGTTTCCAGGCTATTGCCCACTACACACTTTTGCTCTCTCATTCTCTGATTCAGATCCATGTTGTACAGATTCTTGTCAGATACATGGAAATCAGCTGCAGTATTTTCACATTCCTCTCCAAAAGCCTGTTTAACACAGGAGATAATGAACAATCACCATTCATTTGTAGTATAATTCAAAAGCATATTTCATGCTAAAACCTTAAACAAAAACTAATCTCACAGAATGTAAACATCTCTGTTGTACAATCAGTAACAATCAACCTCGCCTTTAGTTCCCTATAGGCATTCATTCTTCTATAAGGTGAACTTGATTTCTTAGACGACTTCTTCTGTTTTAAAATACCAGAAATCAGTGAAAATAAGTTACTGCTGAAGGCTAAATTCTAACTTAGTACTCTCCAGTAACTCTCTACTAACTCTAGAAAAGTAACATCCACTCAAACATTCTTAAAATAGACGTAAGCCCAGTAAGTTTTTAAAAGTAAAGTATCCAATTGTTTTTCTCAGGTGAAAAAACTTTGCAAGACCAAGGTCTTTACTTTCAACCCACTTAGCAAGTAAGAAGGAATTTCAAGCAGCTCAGACCATAAAATCATTCATTTAACTGAGCAGAAACATATTTAGATATCCCTTTCACAAAAAGCAAAACTAGGTCAAACCTCAGTAAAAAATGAACATGGAGGATTTGAAGTAGGACAACAACTACACAGAATGATGAAGTTACAGCAGCTTAGCAGTTAGTACTTACTACAAGTCTACCTTTTATGGCTGCAGCACTACGATTAAGCTCTCTCCACATTTGTTTAGACTTCCAAGATTCTAAGGCCCTGCCTTTAAAATGTTTCAAGGGATTTCAATAATCACAACACTCTGAAAACAAATCTTCAAATATTCTCTAGCTGAGCTTTCAAAGTAAGTTATTTTAAAAACATGTAGGCCATTAGATATTACAAAGATGCATCAAGGACTTGGAAGTTGGATTTAGAGGCTCTGTATCAATACAAGGGATTTTTCTCTGAAATTTATTATAAGTGTCAAAACCAACTGCCTTTATCTGTCTTTCCACTGGTCCTATTAATTGTTCTATTACTTTTCCAAAAAGTTGGGAAACATGTTTCCCAGAATCTGGGGATATTTTGCAGTGTTTTGTCTCAAGGGTCTTAGAATTAGTTTTTGTCAGCTTTTATTAAGTGCATATATGCATGCTCTGTCACTAGCCAAGAATCAAAAAAGGTTTACCTGTAAATAAATGGTTTAAGTAACAGCTGAGAAGATAATTGAGCAAAGCCTAAATACCATTAATCTGCATGATATAATCAATGACATAATTTCCTACCTTTTTGAGAACAGAACACCAGTACTATAATCTATTTAAATTATTTCACAATGTATCCAATACAGTTGGGACATATACTTTTAAGTCTGCTTTTTATCCATTTCCAGATCAGTGAAAACAAGCCTCAGATCATACTCAACATTTATTTCACATGCCACATATACATATAAGAGTCACAGTATATGCTCATTTTTATTTCTGTTTCACTTAAAGAAAAGCCAATGCTGTAATTTTTGAAGAAAAACATGATTTCAGGAATTTGTAACTACAGCCTGAGTATTTGCACTACTTTAAGTATGCTTTTCATCATTATTTTAAACATGACACCAAAGAGACATTCAGAACATGTCAGGTGCCCTGCAGCCAGAAATAGTTAAAATACCTCTGTATTCCTCACAGCATCAAATAGCACTGTTTCAATTTTTACTGCATTTCACTTGATTCAAAAGTCTTCTTTTATGACCAGATTTTCTCCCTGTGTTTGTCTTGTGAAGTGACTCTTAACCACAGAGTATGTTACTTGATGAGAACTTAATATTCACTTGATACTGGTGCACAGAGATGAATACTAAAAAGTCAGGACCATAGTATTTTATAAAAAACATATAAACCAAAGCCATCTTTAAGTCAGTGCTGAAAATAGCTTAAGACTTTCTAGAGCCTCTCAATGCGATATATAATGTAAATCCAGTCTCTATCTCATAAAATGCTCCTAAGCATGCAAAACGCATAATCCATTTAAGTAACAATTACAGAGTTAAACAATGCAATCTGTCCCACTGGCACTGCAGAGATGTGCTCTTCTGTGGATTATGAGAAACCATTAGAAGATGAATCTAGTTTTCCAACAAGTGCCTGACAAAGGCTGAACATACTCTAGAAGGCGCAAAAGGAGTTACTGAAGCTCAGGTGTGCAGGAAAAAGCAGGAGCTACTCTATTCAAGTCCAAAGACTGCAAACCCAGGAAGAAATTTCTACAATGTGGCTTTCAAAGATGACTGCTAGGAGAATGGAACTGGAAGGCTTTGGGTTAGCAAAATTAATGTAAAGATTCTCAAGAAAAAAGAACACAAAAAACCATGGAGAGAAACAAAACACATCTCTGATACAAACAATCAAGTCACTATGGGTATGTGACCAGGAACAAATAGCTACTGATTTTTGTAATACTCTTAAATAAATCTTCATTTATTGACTTTAAATAGGATTAGAAGCAGAGTTTTGATATGTACATATTTATTTTTAATTACAGAATCATTATGAAAATTTCATTCAAACCATACTAACATACTAACTATGGAGCATAAAAGCACAGCTTAAGATGAAAACTTACACTTGTTTTCATAGTGAAATACCGTAGAACAACACAGTCATTTTGTGTTACCACTCCTTACTATGCCTTAAACAACAAGTTTTTCTACCGACTGCTCACCATAGCTTTAATACTGCAAACATCTCAACACACTTTATCTGGTTAAATCATGCTTTATCTAAGAAAAATCTGAGCTTTCAGCCTTCTATCTGCCTCTCTCTTCATCAGAGATCCGTAAGACATCAGCAATACTCCAAACAAAACTTTAACCTGGTAACAAATAGCGCATTTTGAACCAGGATGACATGAAATGTTTCTATCTAACAATATAGCCTGTTCACACTTATAATCAAAGTTCATCTTTGATAAAACCATCCTTCTTTTTACCTTGGAAGTTGATAATGCAAGAGAGAAGCTGTCGTTCACCTCACCGCTACAGGCACTGTGATGCAAAGCTGCCACTGAATCCTGGAAGACGTCTCTCTCTAGAGAATACTGTGATTCAAAGGTGGACTCATCTGCTAGATCTGCCTCTCCGGAGTCCACCTAACAACAAAAGCAATTCAATCAGCCAGGCTGTTACCATCATACCACTTAAGCCCCAAACGCATGCACATCAGCCACTCCATACTGACTGACATTTTTCTTGTTTTTTTTTTCTTTTTTCACTCCATGTTTTACACTGACCTTACATTTGCACAGCACAGTAGGAAAATTTTCTGATTCAGTAACAATCTGTGTTACCACATCTTTAAATGTTGCAAAGAATATCTGAAGTAAAGCAAGAGTCTCAACTAGAATAAGTTGCCGGGCTAAGGCAGGCTCATGCCTGTTAATAGAAGTAAAAGGTGTTGGGAGAATTCTGGTGTATATTCTGATGTGAATATCTGGATTTCTTTAGGGTATCTTTTTCTTTTGAATTTTCTGTTACAAAAATTAACATGGAAAAAATAATGAGCTTCATTTGGTACCACCTGTCAGGAATGTTCTCTTGACTCAACTTCTTAGGCTGTTATTTTTTATACTCTTTTAAAAACAATAATTTGGAAATTGTAATGCTTTACAGTACATTTATAAGAAAAAATTATTACATGATTTTTTTATGATTTTTACATTTGACGACAAGATTATTATGGACATTTCTACACTTCTATTCTTCTTATATGAGAAATAAAGTTTTTACAAGAGTTTCAGACATGGACATGGGTAGTATTTTTTGCCCCTTTTTAAATGAAACATGATTTTTTTTCAAGACTCTCATACTTTCAAATACTAGAATAAAATTAAGTCATAAAAGACCTAATTTATGGTGCTTCTTAATTACACTTTGATTACAATTTCATCTCCCCTGGTAGACCTCCAGAAAGTAGCATATGTTAACAAAATGATCAGAGAGTTTAGAGCCATGACATACCATAAACTTGTATATAAGCACTCATCTGCAGAGACGAGACCTAACTTGTTTTCCAGCCCCTCTAGTTAATCACATTGTGAATTCATTATAGTAAATGCACAACAGCAATAGCAACAACAATCTGCAGAGATCCAACACATTGATTCCTTTTTGTGGCAAAAAGGATCAATTTTTTTATTATTTCAAGCCTAACGACTTAATAGCTAATTCAAATTGCTCCTTCACTGTAACTTACTCTCAGCTTATTGTCTGGAAAATGCACACTAACGTTACCAAAGCTACGCCCTAACAAGGTATTGTGAAAATTCAGATCTGTAGAATCTAAGTGCAGATCTATCTATGAAAACCAGGATCTCATAAGTGCACTCTGTAACCACATCTTCAACTGGGTGACTGCATATTTAGTTTCATATTTTGCATATTTAATTATACAGCTGACAACTCTATTAATGTCATATACTTTCACTGCTTTTTTCAGAAGTTTAATTTTTTTAAATATGAATCAGATGAAAGTCAAGTTTTTTAAATACTTTAGTTTTAATCTGATCTTTTCAACACATATTTAATTACGGGTTATTTATAATATATACCGTGTCTTCTTCATGCTTCTTAATGAATGGAATAAGACAAATACTATTATCTAACTACTATACAAAGATAAAAAACTGCAGAATTAAAACCAGGCAGTCTTGTTTAAAGGTAAATTATTAAGCCAGCTTGACATTTGCAAGAGTGAAAAAACAACAAATCTACTGGAAGTAGCAATGGAGATATTTTCATCCTGGAAGAATCGATTTCAGGGTTTTTTTTGGTTTTGTGTTTTTTTCCTAATGAATTAAGTCCTGGTGTTTAGTAGAAACTGCTTCTCTGCTAAAGTCCTCAAAAAAAGAGAGTATAATGACTTTAAAAGGGGTTGGAAGGGGTTTTTTTGCTTTTTTGTAGAGTCCTATTTCCTGTGTCTTTTTAATCTGAGTTCTTATTGGTAACTTCTGGGCTATGTAAGGCACTGAATGCTCAGGTAAGCCGCATTGTTTATACAAGTGAACAACTTTTGACCTTGCAAATCTCATAATCACTGATTGATGTTGAAGGCTGAAGAATATTATTAGAAGGAAGCATTTGCAGCTTTTGAAGACAGACAGCATTCCTTGTAAGGCTGGATTACATGCAAAAAGGGAGTACCAAAAAGTTTTCAAGGTAGAGAAATGATACGTAGGGAAATAAGCACATGAACATTTCTCTACACAAGGTGAGATTTCCAAAGGGACACTCAGTGCATGCAAGGAGATGTGGATAGCCATGCACTTTTGAAAACATCAGCAAAATACTTTTTTTCCCCAGCAATTAATGTATCACAGATTCACAGCTCATGCAAACATCTCTAGATACCAGTTTCTACCATGTCAGGATCCATCCCACCTATGGTAGATGAGTAATGTGGTGAGAGTAAACACTAAAAAAAAAGCATGAATAGTGAAAAAGCAACTCCTTTCATTATAAAATGCAAAGATTGAAGAAATCTTTGGTAAGTTGGGCCACTAACCAGAGCCAGCTCAGCATGGAAGAGGGCTGCATCAGCTGGCCCCTCCTCCTCAAGTGACTGGGCAGTGTAGAAAAAGCAATCTTCCTTAGCAGAGACATAGCCCTCCTCAGGTGAAAGCTGTAGAAAGAACGAAGCTCTGAGTCGGATGAATGGCCTGGACACAGGAGGTGCAGACTGCATTCTGGAGGGAGGGGGCAGGGGGTGTTTAGAAAGGCAAATGGATTCCAAATGCAGCAGAGTTCATTTCAATCACAGTCACAGTACGGGGCAGGTAAAGAGACAATTTTTTTCTTCAGATTTACTGAATTGATTCAGCTTCACACCTCATTTTACAACCCTAAGTAATGAAAAGGGCCTATCCAGGTATATCACAGAGCCCACAACTTAGTCTAAACTCATTTTCAATTTCTGTTCTCAATAAAGACATTCTGAAACTGCCACCACAGCTGCCACCAGAGAAAGAGCCTAACAGCAGAGATCTTGAAATTCTTTCTAGCCACAGAGTAATCTTATTTGCAGGCAGGAAGACTTCATCCACTGTGTTTTACTATTGTATCTGCCAGGTGGAACAGCCTCTAGAGGACAAAACATAATTCTTACTATAAACAAATAGCTTTTTCTAATATAATTTGATGGTAGGTGTATTTGTCCAGTACTGCAAAAAAACAGTGATTATTTGCAATGTTTAATTACTTGGCAAGCATAATATATGAAAAATGTTGAAGCACAAATGCTGAATGTTTACAACTGTTTGCAACAAAAATAAAACCCCCCATGCATCTTCTCTTTTAGAATAATATCTTCAGTACAAAATTTTTGACTTGCAAGACACTTCATTAATATAGTCTCCATTACAAAAAAAGAATTTAACAGAGTAAGTTAAAAAGTGGCCTCTTACTATGAAAAGCAAAGTTTCTAGGGACCTAAACAACAGTCATTCCCTCTCACTCTCTCCACAGAGATCTACTAAGAATGAAAATTTGATATTTGCATCCACAAGGATTATAAGATTATCAATTTATTAAAAGCAAAAATGAACCTCTAAGACTGTACTTGAGCTTGCTTACAGACATAGAGAAAAGTATCTTCCTTGTATGTATGAACTAATGCCATTTTACTGGTTTAAATTTAGCACACCAGGGACATTAGTTCACTAGCATCCTTACTGATACATTATCTTGGTCACCTTAGGTCTCATTCAACCTCCTTTTTTGAAGGTTACTGTCTAAAATCAAGCCTGAAAAAAACAGTTAGATGTACAGAAACTGAAGACTACACACTATTACATAAACAAAGTGTGCAGTCTAAATACAAGGACTGCATATACACTATGCCTTGCAAAGCAAAGAAATAGGTAAATTCCAGGCAAACCACATAAACCCAACTTTATGTCCCCATCAAACACATTCAGAGAAACACTTAAAGTGTACAGTGTACAAAATTGTGCCTGTCAACTTTCAGCCCTGAAAGACTCTGCTGGTTGCAAGATGCTTTGCTGTTTTCTCAGCTGCAAGACAGGTGTGCTAGGTCCTGCAATCACTACATCAGTCATACACTACCCAGGCCACTCCGACATGCAAGGAAATAATTGGGCCACTCAGCTATACCCCAGAACACACAAAGTGTATGCAGAAGACAGGATCAGCATGTACCAGCTTAAATGACAGGAAAAGTACCCATTGAATTCCCAAATCCTTACAGGTAGTGGTTTGGCAACTCCTATTTTAACTGTTCCTGTTGGAGCTCCTTTCAGTGCTTGTACTGCTTCCTCCAGGCTGCCGTTTTCCAAATTGATATCATTGACAAACATAAGCCGATCTCCAGGAAGAAGTCTGCCATCTTGCTCAGCCACACCTCCAGGAACTAATGAGCGAATCACAATTACAGTGTTTGCTGGATCAACAGGATCCTAATTAGATAAAAGGAAGAAAAGTATTTCATTTTATTTACTCTTTTATGTCCTGAGAGGCAAATTTTTATTTATGAACTTTTACTAAGCCAAGGGAGTTGGGTCATTAAGAAGCTAGAGCTCTCCTCCAGGTGAACCCTCAGCAGGAGCAAACCCTCCAGTCCATACTGCCCATACATTTATACTTTCACCTATTTTTAATTCTTCAATGTGAAAATTATTACTCCTTTCTAGGTGATGCCCCATCATGTGTCTCCAGTATAAAGTATTACTAAATTGTACAAGTCAACTTTTGAGCTTGCAAATCTCATAATCGCTGATTGATGTTGAAGGCTGAAGAATATTATTAATTGCAGAGTGTTGTCTGTACAAATCAAAATTCAAGTACTTCCTACTGCAATGACATGTTGCAGATTCCATCCTCCTTTACACTCAGTGGTCTGAGGATACAAGTGGGCAATGCAGTCTAGGGCAAAGGTAACACATGTATTTTAGTGGACAAAGGACTTTCAATAACTCTCTTATACTTCATGGTACCAGATCTTGCTCAACTAAGAAAGCACTTAAGAGGTAAGTTCTTGTGCATGACTAATTAAACACTTTATGTGAGAGAGGAACAGCACTCTAATCAACAGGACAAAACAAAATGGTGTTTGCTTTAAAAAAAATAAATCTGTTTTGAAGTTCCCATCCTCCGGTGCACCGATTTTTAAGCTAGCATCAAACAGGAACATATGTTTCTGTCATAACAATTATCACAGGTGCAAAACATTTGTGTGATTCTTACAGAACTACATTTACAAGGCACACCATGTTAATAATTCCAAGACACAGTTCGCTTGAATGCACACTCAAAAAAGAACACCAAGAAACATAATCATGTAACAGCTTTACCGATAGCAGAAGTAAGAGAAAACCAAACAACCACAAACAGGCGCAAAGCTGTAACAAGTTTCCACGCCAAGACATATATCTGAAAAGATGGACACCATCAAGGTAACATGTAAAAACTGCAGAAACTGGGAGACTGCTGAAAGCTGGTGTGAGAGAGAAGTGTTGAGGGAGGGAAGGAGGACGGGAGGGAAGGACACTGAAAAGAAGTGTCCCTGATGGCAGTTAATGGAGTACGAAGAATGCCATGGAGTTATAAAACACTTCACAAGTGGAAATATAACTAGCATTGCTGGAGATAGAGCTTGAGCTTGAACACTGAAATCTTCCTCACTATTTTAACAACAGATAATTACACTGTCACTTTAGATGACACTACATGTCACTTTTCTTTTTTTTTTAATAAATACCTCTCTAGTCAATGTGACAGTCTTCTTTAGGTTAAGAAATTATGTAGACTTTTCTAGAGGCCTGCCATTGTATAAAACACGAGGAATGTATTAGTATGGCTGTTACTGTCCTTAACTGTAGCCACTGTTCATTGAAAATTAATTGAAAATTTGAAGAAAACAGTAAAATACAAAGATAAATCTCCCTGTAAATTTATTGTTCACAATCTTAGGTGAAGGCAGAAACTTCAGTGCCAAACTGAAATGTTTTTACTGCATGTCAAAGAAGACAACATAGGACAACACAATACTATAACATCAAAAAAAAAGGTAAGTTTCAGAAAGCCAACTAAAGCTGTAAGACAGAATCAAATTCATATTTGAAAAATATATTAACCAATTTAAGGCAGTTTCCACAGCCCTTTTGTACTATTATCCATAAACAAAATCCAGTGACTTACGCACCCACAATTTGTGTTAATGCTCAGAAGAGGCTGAAGCAAAAATATACTTTACTGTGTACTGACACAGACTTCAAATACTCCAGCTCAGCTATGACATCTGACTCCACAGAATCATGAGTAACATATGAGAGAGTAGTCATTGTTTCATAAAACAGACACTTGACTATGCCTTTATCCTTCAGATTATTACAATACACTGCTCTTCACTTTTATCAGTGTGCAAATGCAAAATCTAAGGCATAGACTAATTCTAAGCAGTGCCCTGGGGGCACAATTTCCATCTGGAACTGATCTCCAGATGTAAATGCATATACTCCTAGGGACAAGATCCAGCAGAAACCTGGAAGGAGACTGGGTCCTGCACCACCACCAAACAGCCCACCAAAAGCCTATATTGACCACAGTATAGGGAGAAAATACTTGAAGTCAGATTAAAAGTTATCCACTGAACAACTGGGAACAGGAGGAACATTTGTTTTGGGGATCCTGACCAAGTGCAGGCAAGAGACAGACACTGACCTGCTCATTGGAACACACTAAGAATCATAGCTTACATATTCAGGAATTCTGAAGTCAAATACAAAATGAATGGAGATGTTTAAGTACGTCCTGGACAAACTGCAGCTAAGCAAGGGATTTCAGAATTGCAGCTCCGGATTTTAGTAAATCCTTCTTTAAGCACCTAAGTCCTTTATTGGATCTTGCTCTAAACACCTCACTGCAGGTGCACAATACATGGCTAAATGCCTGAATATTCTGGCTACATCATTCATTGTCCCTGAGTCACTAGAAGATAGCTTTCTGAAGACCCTATTATATAACAGATTATCAGTTTTTCTGGAACCAGTATTACCACCATCATTAGAACCTGTAGTCTTAAAACAGAAAGAAGAATATGTAATGCAATTAGTGAGATGCCTAAAACTATTTAGTGATTAGCTTTACTCTATTGCTTGGTTTCCATTAACATTTACCCTTAAAATACATATTTGGAACACACTGCAAGATGCAAACAATACAAAGTATTTTGCCCTCTATTCAAAAAAGTGCAGAAGTTACCTGATAGTCCAATATGCTAAATCCAAGCCCCATACTCCCTTTCTCCAGCTCAATGTTCTGTATTTCTGTTTCCCACATTGCCAAAGACGAGCTTTGCACCTCTTCCATACTCTGAACCTCATCAGCTGCTTCCAAAGCTGTTCCCTCTGTGTCCGAGGAGCCAATGAATCCAACTTCTATGTGAGCCTGAGAAAAACAGTAAATGTTTACCAATAAAATGTAAACCCTTGTGAATATGCAGAGACAAAACTCTGTTTATGAAAAAAAAGATCAAAACTAAGTGATGTATATCTAGACATAAAGGAAGTTCAAGCCCCCAGCAGATTTAATAAACAAGTCTGATAAACCTAGCACAGAATTCACATATCCTTTTAACAAAATAGCCCTGCTGCAAGTATATGAAAGTACTCCCTGGAAAAACTTTAACAAAATGGAACTTCTGTCAAACGAAAAACTTCAAAAATCTTCATTAGTACATGCATTCAAATATACAGGAAATATCTGTTATTAAATGGTATGTCTAAACGTAATAATACTGATAGTAGTCAGAATATTCAATAAAAGAAAAAATACATGCACATATACACAGACATCTATGTTCTTCACTTGGTTTCATAGAAAAGCTTAGATCCTATAAACTGAATTTGGTGCCTTGCCCAGAACTCAAAATTAACTGTGTCTCTTTTCATATAAATGCTATTGCTTTGCATACTACACTGTAGGCCAGCCATTCCTACATGTTTAATTCATCAGACTGCCCAGAGCTCTACAATTATGAGTGACAGAAGCATCAGCCAATGAATGCACAGAGTTCTGTACAACACAAACCCAGAAAGCAAAGTTTAAAACCGGAATAAATATATTCAGATTCTAAACAACACACAGTTCGATTTGCCATACCCCTACATCTCACCTACAGAACAGAATTACATAACTCAGAGAGACAGCCCTGCATCCCAGAATATTTCTGCCCATGACCAACCAGGATTGACATCTTCTGGTGGCTTAAAGAATGGCTGATAAACATAATTTGCCTTTTCCTATTTGTCCTACAATATTAAAACATATTTCTAATCTTGCAGAAGAACTCGATCTGTTTCTTTCTCAAGGAAACAGTAATTTTCAGTGATCTTTTAAAGACACAATACCTTTTCTGTGAGCTGAACCTCAGATAGACTTAGACTCTCTAGCACTTCTGGTTGAGTGATGGGGGGAGCTACTGGACGACAGCACACCATTGTCACCTTAATAGGCAGTTCTTTCAAGATACTGACCACATCCTTGTGGTTTTCCCCAATCAAAGAGATCTCATTCACCTCAATAAATAAAGAATACATACTGGTTAAAACTGCAGAGTATTTAGAACAACAATGAACAAAAAAAGCCCCACAAACCTCAACTCACTAATCACCTCAAAAAAAAACACTCCCATGCTAATAGACATTGTCAACCCTTAATTTCTATTCAGTTCAGTCTTCAGAATGAGCACCAAGATAAGTACTGAACTGAATGTACAGTCTTATAAAATTGCATGACACCACCCTACAAACCCCACATACTCTGCAACTTCATGTTTCTTTCATTCATGTAAACAAAATTCATATTTTAATTCTGAGAAAATAATTTAGAAAAACAATCCAGTGTTCAGTACCTTCACTGTGTAAGGATATTCCTATTAAATCCTAATGCTTTTGCTACATATTCTTTTTTTGTGATTGTCCTGGTTTCAGTGGGGATAGAGTTCATTTATTCTCAGTAGCTGGTGCAGCATTGTGCTTTGGATTCAGTATGAGAATAACGTTGATAACACAGTGGTGTTTTGATTGCAGCTAAGTGTATTTATCCTACAGAAAGGACTTTTTAGTGTCTTGTGTTCTGCCAATGAGGAGGTACAAAAAAGAAAAAGTGGCTGGATGGTACTTAATTGCTAGTTGAGCTTAAACCATGACACAGACCTTGGACTGCATCTGAAAGATCCGCTACCAGCTGAGAAATAAATGTAGGTATATACATTCACATAAATACACATAAGTGCACATGAAGTGACTGCTCAACCACTAACTGGTATGCAATTAGATATGCCACATTCCCAAGGTCATAACCCATGAGAAGTAACTTACTGCTCAAAAACCTTACTGAATGCAGACTAAGCTAAGGTAGGATTTTTTCTTACTTCCAGCAGTTCATCTCCACTGAACAGCTTGCCACTGCGTCCAACTGGTCCCTCCGGTAAGATAGATCTGATGAAATGATGTTCCACTGTAGCTTCAAGGCTTATCCCCAACCCACTGCTTTCACTAAATTTGTTAACTACAGCCACCTAAAGTAAGATTAAGAAAGAGTTACATTTCATATATTTACAGCCATACCTGTTACTTTCTATTTCAATTTACAAATTATGAGGTCGATATTCCAGAAGTTAGAAACCACAAGTATTGTCATGTGTAATGGGGCAGTCAGGTAAAAACTGAAACTTTGATCACATACCACTTCACAATACACAAGTAAGAACTGTATGACAATAATATATCTAATAATACACACTTCTGCAGACACACCACTTATGGCATATGTTTTTGCAGTAGCTCCTAAACTCAGATACCGCTTTTCAACTGTATCTACAGTACATGTTCTATACATTTTTTATACCATTACATCAAACCATTTATTCAGGATGCAGAATGGGTATGAAATTTCAAATTCTAGCTAATGAAGGGAGCCTTGAGTTTCATATTAAATATTATTTTTTTCTATAATACACATTTGTTCTCTTGAAGCTAGGAAATAGGTGAAACAATACTCATAGGCACAGCAATCTAATAAGTCTATGATTGACAAAATACAGAAAAATGTATATCCTCATACAAAAATTATATAAAAAATAATCTCAACAGACTAAGAGGCGTATGTATAATTCTTATACATGAATGAACAAATACAATGCAAACATATTTCCATCCATATGTTGTTAACATAATAGACGGACAGATTAAAGGGCATTTAATAACAGTGAATAGAATTTACCTACCACTATTTCATAATTCGAACCCATAATCCTCTGCCACTTTATCTTTGTAGCTTCTTCTTCTGCAGTAGTTAGCTGGAAATCTAAAAATCATATGTGAGATTACTGTGACAAAGAATAAAACAACTAGTCTATTCCTACAAGTGACAAAGTATATGGAACATATGAGATGGCACAATCAGGAACATACAACATGACACAATCTTTCCCATGATGCCAGAACTCTCCCAAATATGACTAAAAACCTGGCGTGTGTTGTCTCACCAAGCTTGGGTTTACCAAAGGAAAAACCTGTAAAATACTATTAAGATTCCAATCCTGCAAAACTAATTATGTATTTTGAAAGAAATGAAGTTCACTCCAACAGTTTGGTATGTGTAGCTGGGAAGAAAGGACACATATTTAAACTGGCCTCAGAGTTGAGTGAATTTTTTGCAATTTTTCAAGATAATAGGCACAAAAAATATTTAGAAGTTGCATGCATGCCCTGGGCATGTGTTAAATCAGACTGTATGTGGGCTGATTAGACTGGTTCAGGGAGATGGCTGAAATACTGAAAAATGTAAACTGCATACTAATCCTTTTAGACAGGTACTGCATTTTAGAGAGCATCCACAGACACAGTCTTGACATTTTGTATTTTCAAAACCATGAGCACAACTGTAAAAGATTTTTCTGAAACTGTAAGCCCTAGAGGACAGTGACAGAATGCAGGAAGTGCCACCTCTATTTTTTTTTTTATTATGTTAGACTCACATATGTGCACACACACAACAACATAAGATTCTAACAGCTAAAGAGTAGCAGTGAACTTGGAAAGAAAGGAAGCGGACAAAGCAATGATGTGGTGAAAATCACAGTGACAGGCTAGACAGCAAACTCTCGCAACTCTTAACTTGATTGAAAGTTTATTTGCAGGCTGAAAAAAATGAGAAATGCTTTCTTCCTGCTCATTTTGCCCTCATTCACATTGTCTAGGCTCTATGGCAGGAAGAAATAAAAAGCACTATTTAGATACAACAGCCAGCAAGCACACCAGGTTTAACAGAACCCTACATATTCAAGGGCCATGGTCTGGACTGTGCCTGTAGTAAATACCCAAATAAACCCTTCGGATCTGAATGTTCATCACAGGCAAAGACAAGAATCTTCATCACAAAGTTGCCAAATCCCACTGATTCTAGTAAGAATATAAAATGTCTAACAGTCTTGAACAGTGTTTTAAGTCTAGTCATTACTTGGAAACATTACTACACATAAATCCAGATGATGTGTGGCATTCAAATAGGACAATACTTTCCCCAAAGCAGAGACCCAGCAGTATCTGAAGGAAAGGCATTAAAAAGAAATTACTTCATCTATCCAAGATAATGAAAGCATGAATTATGAAAAGATAAACATCACAAAACTTTTCAGTTCCCCTTTCACTCTGGAAGCAGGAAAATGTCACAAAACACGCCATGTGCTGTCTCAGTCTGGAAAACATATCATCACATAGGACTTCTGAAATGCAAAACAGTGTTCTAAGAGCTCAAGAGGGAAAAAAATACTCATTAGAAAATAAGACAGAGTATGGGAGAAGTCAGAGAATATCAGTGCACTAGAACTGACTGAATTTCAAACGTTACCAGAGAACACAGATTGAAACTAATACAAGCTCAGGAATTTGTGAAAAGGAAGTTTATCAAAAGAGGTGGAAGTCCTGGAACTGTAGCTGGGAAGATGCGGACAATTTGAAAGATAAAGTATATTGGGGAATGAGAAGGAAAAAAGTTTTTTTTCTAGACTAGACTAGAAAGAGTAGATACACAAAACTGGACTAAGAGAGGACCGAGCAAGTGGCAAAAGCAGACTGCTTCATATGACATCTTTGGCATATAATTATTTTCAGACACATATAGTAGTCAAGATCCTACAGCACTCATGATCAAGAATACATGATTAAACATATAACTACTTTGACTTTTTAGTTCTACCTCAGCTAAACAGCATACAAATGGAAAGACACAAAAAACATCTGATCTAAAAACATCTGATCTTAGTGTAAGCACACACAAGTGCATCTTCATAGAATAAAATATTAAACCTTGAGAACCTGTCTCCTGTTGTTTCATGTCATCTCCAATATTTACCACACTGGCACTGCATGGCAATGATGGGGATCCTTGTTCTGTTTCACTGTTATCTGGAAAAAAAGAAGAAATCTTTTCAGCTATTTTATGTTGTAATATTCATCAAGCTCACAGGTATGCTTCAGGGCATCGACTCTCTCTTCCACTGGACTTCAGAGTATAGTAGCCACATTTGACAAATGGAATCTGGCATAGGGGGCCCAGAATAAACATCAGATTTCAAAGACGTTCTCTCCTGTTAACACTTTGCCTTCTCCAAAGAGTTTTCAATAAAACAAACAAACAACAGAAAAGCACGACTACCAGTACCTGCATTTCTATCACTGAAAATATATCTAAATACGTTCCTTAGCATTCTTGTATTAACTTTTTTTTTTGTTTTCTTTCATGCAGTTCAGGAAGTTGACACTGAAAACAAAAATGGTACAGACTTGGAGACTTGCATAACTGACATACTTTTCATTTGCAGAAAACCCCTACCACAAAGTTCTGTTATCTCTGTTGCTGACTGTCAGATGTCTTGAACATCTATCGGTTGGAGAAACAGCACTGAGCATTTTGTCTTTACTTTTTGCTAAAGCTGGGAGCGAGAGGATGACATACAGACAACATACTACTGGGTGTTTGAAAATCTTGCACAAGGTGGGTATTATGCCACAGCTGACGAATTATGACGTACTTTTACTGATATCAAACTATAACACAAGTAGCTGTTTGTGCATCCAGTCTCCGCTCAGGTATCCTGTGTTCAAGCACACTGACTTCCAATATCTGGCACATATACTTCAATATGTGCAGAGCATATAAGATTAAACTTCACTAATCTCATGTTATCAGCAGCAAAATTAATATGGGTCTTTAGCTTATGAATATTGTACACACACATTGGATTATTAATAACCTCTAGGTGTAGGCCACACCTCTTGTACATGGAGCTTGTGACATGCAAGAGTGAAAGGAGCTAAGATTTGCTTTTGGTCATTGAGGAGGTTATCTCTCTGCTTGCTTTTGAATGCAGCTTTCACTCTTGAGCATGAATAAAAGATTTGCTACCTTCTTGCCGTTTGAAGATTTGCAAGATCAAAATCTTGAAGCAATTCAGACAGAAGTGCAATGCAGGGCAGAAATTTCAACACTCAATTCGAAAATGTAGCAAATAATACCATTATGTCTACAAGATTAATCAAACCATAGTAGACCACATTCTGCCCTCATGTACAGCAGCTCTGCCCAGCAGCTCTGCCAACAGTAATAGCTACCCAGAATGAATCTGGCCTATTTTATTTCCAGTTTGCAATTGAGAAGAAAAATGTTTCAAGCCAACTTCAAAGCAAAGTCAGTTTTAATTACCTTTGGCTGTGCTACTATCCTTTGTTTGGAACTGTAAGTCCTTTTCAACAGGAGCATTGAAGTCCTCCTGGGGTGGAATATGATTTTCCTGCTTAAGACCTCTTCTGATCAAAGTGAGTCGAACTGTTTGTCCCGTGTGCCGCAAAACGTCAACTGCTTGCTGGTTAGTAAAACCCTGAAGATTTGTTCCATCAACCTGCAGAATTAAGCAGCTTTTCAGTGCACCCAGAAAAAAAAAGTCCAGGGCAAAATAATACAGTGAGCTCTCAGCATCTGTTAGCCTGAGTACAAAGCAAGTGGAGGGACAAGAACAAAACCTATATGACTTAATGAAATTGGATGAGCTAAGCACTCCCACTGGAGTACTGCACAGCTAGGTGACAACCAGCACTACAGCACAGAGAGGGGAAGTGCTCCAGGTGCCCACAACGGTACAGCCAGGCAGATCTGCTCTGCGAAGTGGGAGAGGACACAGCATGTGCTGTGCAGGGCACATTGCACAGCCTGTCTGCTTGACCACTTCAGCCATCTCTACCTCCAAGGAGAAAATACTGGGTGAATAAACCAACACAGCCATGGCTAGGAGTGCTGGGGACAGGAGAGTTAAGGAAAGATACATTGATCCATGGTGGTAAAAAGAACTAGAGAGTACAGTCATTCTGAGGCCAAGGAACCTCAGATACAGGGAATTCTACTACTGAACACCATGAAGTCCCATTTCCCAATCAAACACTGTCACAACCAACCAGATGTTATCACTGGTTCATCATTTTAATATTTTAAAGATAAGATTTTGGCCTCCTCTGTTTGAAACTATCTCATTATCTCATTAATTCAGTGTTTTTTTCTGGAACTCAAAACTTTGGCATTGCTCAATTTCATCCCATTATACTTAGCATACACCCAATTTTATTCTTCTCCCTGCAAACTCTGTAATATCCTTTCTCAATTTACCCTTGTGTGCCTTAAATTTCTGAAATACTTCTAATAATACTATGTTCCTGTAGTTTTTTCTGTCTATCTACACAACATATATATTTCATTATTTTAATTGCTCCTCCATGAAGAACGAATCCCTCTGGACTCTAAGTCATTTTGTTGTTCTTCTCTTAATTTCTTCCACCTCTGGTGCTCTTCTAAGTATAAAGTAACCAAAAATCACATGGCGTTATTAAATTTTTTCTCCATGCTTAAGTAAACCATATTTAAAAAATATTTATTATTCTTTTGTCTGAGAACACTCAAATAATTTTCTTCTTCTGCACTGCAGTAGAAGAAGCAAACAAACTGCAATAATCAAGTTCAGCCATTTGTATTCAGCATGTAAGTCATTACCAAAAACATATACTTCCACAAACAAACATGCAGGCACATTTAGAGAGAGACATTAACTTGCTCTTAGTGCTGCCTAAGGAGAGATCTATGAGAGACACAAAAATGCACTCCCTCTGTTCATGACCTCATTTTCACTAAACAAATAACATTTTATGGATGAAAATATGTTCTTTTTTCTCTGAGTACCTAAAACTTTTATAACATACTTTTAAAAATCATTTTGAAAAGTTATGCAAATTTAATCAAACTTTAAAACTTTGCACTTACTAAGATCCTACTGATAAGATACACACATGAAATTCAGATTTTTTAAAGAAGTACAAGTTAGGAGTGGATAACATAATCAGAAAGAGAATGAGATCAAATATTCTATCAAAAAAGGCCTCATCATTTCAACAGCAGTTAAGTATTTTAAACAAGTACTATATAAGCATTTCTTTACAATTTAAAGAAGCAGAATTTCGCAGACAAGTGATCTTGCTTCTTTCTGTGTTTACTTACAACTATAATTTGATCTCCCACATGGATTCTGCCATCATGTTCAACAGCACTGCCCTTTGTAATGCTTTTCACAAAGATACCAGAAGGTTCTGGGATAAAGAAATAGGAAAAATTAAATTAACTAATTTATTAAGAAACAATTTAAATAATGCAACAATCTCCAACTAATGGCACCAGTCAAAGAGAGAAAAAAAACACAGTCCACAATCTCAAAGTAAGATAAGAAAACAACCATGAAGAAAAGTAATGATTTAAGTGAAACATACATATTACTATTTTCCTAAAGGATGAACTTCGTTAATGTCGGCTTGCATTGGACCAGCTTTCATTCAAAATCTTACAATGCCAAATTCACAATTCTTGTTGGAAAATAAGAAATATTCCAACTTACTTTAACCTAAATATTGAAACCAACATCAACAAGGAACATATCTATGACTTTTGTCAAATTTGGACAGAAAATTCAGCTTGAGTATACTAATCTGGTTAATTCTGAATTTTCTATGTACTTAATAATTGCTTAAGAAAATGCATGTTTGAATAACCAAATCCAGAAAATTATAAGCAAACAGGACCACAACTTACATTTGAACCAGCTTTTAAGTACAAATGCCAATATTAGATAAAACAAAAATTAAAAAAAAAAACAAACCAAAAAAAACCAACAAAACAAAAGGCCACAAACAAACAAAAAAACCCTAAGACAGAAATATTTTAGACAGTTATTAATTTTGAATCAGAAGGGAAAGGAATATATAGAGAACATCTACAGAAGCAACGTTTTACTAAAAGAAATTCATTTCAGGAGAAACACACTTGTCTGTGAAACAACTTCAACAGTTCAATAAAGTGAAAATCTATGGAGTTTCTACATGTACATTTTGCACATCATACATGAAACTGAGAAATATAACACCATAAACAGGCATGAAATCAGGTCTAACAGTTACAGGCCTGTAACACTGATATCAGAAATCTCAAAAGAATCTACTTTCTCTCAACAAATGTTCCCACTGTTAAATGAATATGTTTGATATGAAGCTAATTCACTACAAAATGCATTCTAAAAGTTGTCAGACCCTTTACAGACCTGAAGTTAACTTTTTACTGGCCCTTATTATAACAAAAGTTAGCAGGAAGGAGAGCTAATGATCCAATTCAGCTTAGGAAAAATAAGATTACAAATATATTAAAGTCACATCACTGACAAGTCTTTTTTTTTTTTTAAGCTGTTGTTTCCACAACAACTGGTCTTACTGAATTCCAGGCATTCTTATATCCTGTAACAGCTGTACGATAACACAAGAAGTTGTTATTTTTCATTCATGAAAGATTCAGCCATGGATCTTTTTGTCCAGTAGTTTTATTGCTACTTCTCTGACAGCAAAGTTATCCTGTAACTAAGTGTTAAGTCACAAAACTGAGTTACCTAATCAGTTCCTAGGTTAAGAATATTCTACATAGTTACACGCAGCACAGTAATTTCAAATCAAAGACTGTAGATACCCAAACACTAAATCAGTTAAAATATGCTCTCAGATCTATTACATATTCTGCATTTTAATTTGTCTCTTAAAGATTCAACTGGAAGCTGCTAAACAGTGGACTTGCACAAACTGTGACCATCCTGTCCTATGCAACAAGAGTGTTAAAATTTAGTCCAGATTTTCCAAGTCAACAAACTAAGCTATATACTGCCAATAATGCGGAGTGCACCTATCCATACATTTTTCTAACAATATATATGTGGGTGTAAGTCAAAGCAATAGCTCTTTGAGAAGTTTTACAACACATTCAACAAACATCCCTTCCTAGCAATACCGGATTTGCCAAATCCCCCCCAGGGAGGCCTAACAGAGTTCAGAATAATTTTTCAGAAAAATGCAGTGGAAATTGCAAAGTAAAAATACATAGAACCGTACATGAATACTGTTGCATGTGTTTATTTAAATAAACTTATTTATTGTCTGCCACGGTCCACAGGTCAACAAACATTTATTGTATCTACATCTATTGTATTCTTGATCTGCCAGCAGCAGTATTCACATTGTTAACAATTTAATAACAATACCTTCTCATACTACTCAAATGGCTAATGTATTACCTTGTAAGAGCCTTTTAAAAATGAAAATGTAATTTTAAAAGCCCAGTTATTTCTAACAAAGAGGGTTCAACCTATTTTAGAACTGTTTTTCAAAAACATATAAACATAAGCTTTAGCCAAAAGTGAAGATAAAAATTGATTTAAAAATAAAGATGGGATTCTGTAATAACACCAACTGCTTTTATTCTGAATGTCCTTCTCACAAAAGGAAAATAATTATTTTTCCCTTACAAACTTTAAATAGATTTTCATATTGTCAAGGGTTCTTTTAAGAGATGCTATACCAAAATTAAGTCTTGGATGCATATATACCATAGTATGCAATAAATTGTATAGTAAAGTGCAGAAATCAACCATTACCTGACGTTTTGTCTCCAATGTAACCAGCAATAGTTATTCCTAAACCTTGGTTGTTTTTGGTAAGTTCAACATTAAATTTCTCCCCATCTTCACAGCCATCAATAGAAGCATCTGCCTAATAAGAAAACAGTGATTAGATTTCTTTTTTCTTTAAAGATCCTTCATATTCTTTAATGTCATTAAAATGTAAAATTAGATGCAATCATAAAAAAGAAAGTGCAAACTTTCCTTACACTCTTTGCTGTTCACCAGAGAAATGAGAAATAGGTTAACACTCCTCATGGTGAAGCAATACAGGGTAGGTCATGTACTCTCCACCCCACTTTTCCAGCATATTACCTCTAACCTATAAAATCATTATCTGATGACTAAAATGATTGGTGAGATTTGTACAAATTGAATAATTAATTGCTTGTACAATAATTTAGACATATATGTATATGCATACGTAGCTTGTTGCCCTTCTGGTGCCTCCTCTGAACCAGCTTTAGATGGCTGGGTTATTAAAAGGAAGAAAAAAAGTCATAATTCTATTTTGTATGCTATTTGTTTAAATTTCTCTGCAATAACTACAGCAATGTATTTAAACTTGTCAAAAATTTGGGAGTAAATAATTAATTTATTTACTGTTAATGGAAGTAAAATACATATTAAAATCCCATTTTTACAATAGTGGCTTTGTAGTAAAAGAAAAAACTACTTATAAAAATTAACTTCAACTTTTAAAAAGTTTTGGATTTAAATTTTTCATCTTTCAGTTGTCTAAAACAGACAGTTTCTAGCCATTTCAATACCTGATATGTGATTACATATAAAAGGCTTTAATTTCATTGTATTTATATGGGCATCAATATTTATGCATACATTTAAAACAGGATTTCATAAAGTAAAAATCCATCAAGATCCTGCTATACTCTTCTTTTATTCTGTGCTTTCTGCATGCCAAGTAGCAGTTAATATTTTTTAAAGTGCAAATATGGCAACCAGGCAGATACTAATCAAACCTAGTTTGACTAGATAAATATGCATGTGCCTAAAGAAAGAAGATTTCAGGAGAGCTATGACGCTACTTGCCAAGAGAATCTGATTCCAGTTCTTTATCTGAACAACTCCAACCAAAATCAAAATTAAACACAAGAAAAAGAAATTGCTACTGCATTAACCATCTCTCTACTTGATAATACAGGATTGTTTTGGCCAGAGGTAATACCACTAAAAAACTGATCTAATTTCTATAACCTCATGAATTTTTACAGGATAGACATCTACAGGTGAACATGACAAGAAGTGGCCATTTTGAAAAGCCAATCTGCTCTCAATAATAGCTGTAAGAGCATCTTGAAGTCTTTACCCACACTGTATTTGATTACAAGAAACTAACAAACCAAGCTGTTTGCATCATCATCTTCACTTCAGACCCAAATCAGTAAGTCTTGCACAACCGTTAACAAGGTGTTCCTTCCAAGAACAAGACTGCAGAAGTTTAAAAACAGCCTACCTTCTGCCAGAAGAGAGGTACCAGGAAGAAGGCATTGAAAAGTAAGGAAAAGGAGAAGAAGGTGTCAAAAAATTTAAATTTCGCCCCTTGGCTGCTTTGAGCTACTTCCTCAATACTAGGAATCTTATACCTCCTGCAGCTGCAGATACTTCCTTCAACATTGCATCATATACTGGTGGTGAATGGTGTTGTATCCAGTTCTTGGCCAGTGACTAGTGGTGTGCCTCAGGAATCAGTGTTGGGCTCAGTCCTGTTTAATATCTTTACTGATGATCTGGATGAGGTGATTGAGTCTACCATTAGCAAATTTGAAGATGACAACAAGTTCAGAGGGAGTGTCAATATGCTGGAGGGTAGGAGGGCTCTGCAGAGGGACCTGGACAGGCTGGATCAATGGGCCAAATCCAGTGGTATGAGATTTAACAAGGCCAAGCGCCAGGTCACATGCCTTTTGGCCACAACAACCCCCTGCAGCACTACAGGTGGGGAAAGAGTGGCTGGACAGTGGCCAGACAGAAAGGGACCTGGGGATAATGATTGAGAGGAAGATGAACATGAGCCAGTAGTGAGCCCAGGTGGCCAAGAAGGCCAATGGCATCCTGGCCTGGATCAGGAACCGTGTGGCCAGCAGGACCAGGGAAGTGATTCTTTCCCTGTTTGCGGCACTGATGAGGCCCTCGCTTGAATCCTGAGTCCAGCTCTGGGCCCCTCAGTTCAGGAAGGATACTGAGGTGCTGGAATGGGTCCAGAGAAGAGCAACGAGGCTGGTGAAGGGACTCGAGCACAAGTCCTATGAGGAGAGGCTGAGGGAGCTGGAGTTGTTTAGCCTGGAGAAGAGGAGGCTCAGGGGAGACCTCATCACTCTCTACAACTCCCTGAAAGGAGGCTGTAGCCAGCTGGAGTCAGTCTTCTCTCCCAGGCAACCAGCAGTAGGACAAGGGGGTACGGTCTTAAGCTGTGCCAGGGAAGGTTTAGGTTGGACATTAGGAAGAGGTTCTTCACAGAAAGAGTCATTGGGCATTCAAATGGGCTGCCCAGGGAAGTGTTGGAGGCACCGTCCCTGGAGGTGTTTAAGGAAAGCCTGGATGTGGCACTTAGTGCCGTGGCCTAGTTGACAGAGTTGTGTTTAGTCATAGGTTGGACTCGATCTCAGAGGTCTTTTCAAACCTAGCTGAGTTTGTGATAACCTCAAAAAGGCAAACACTGAAGAAATATACACAGATTAACTGTGTATATCAAAATCAGCTTTTGTTTTGAGACCGATGTTTTTCAGACAAGTAATACTAGGGCTAAATATGGATGCTCTATCTAAAATGCAGAGAGGTTTTATGTCTCTCAGCGCTGTAAAGACACAAAAGTACCAGTTTGTCTCTCCTGCTAGATGCTCAGAAGCCTCCATGTTAAGATTAACTTTCTTTGCCTTATAGCCACAAAAGAGGGGATGTTTCTTTTTCACATGTACCACTACAATGGACAGGGGCAAAATGATGGTAATCATGCATAAATTGTTATGGCTTTTTTTCTTCTGAAGTGACTTGTTTGAAACGTAAATTGTAACTGGGGAGACAGTAAACCAAAACAATCTTTCAAGGCCTAAATTCTATCTACCTGGAGGCTCAAAAACAATGAACTTTTTCTTCTCTCATTAATTTACTCCACATATTCACATATATAGGTATCTGATCATAACCACATGTGACAAAACAGTACTGTTCCTGGCTCTTCTGAGGCCAGACTTTGCTACAAACATGCAAATGACCTATTAAGCAGAGGTTTTGAGCTGACAGGTCATGATAATATATACAGCATTTTTTAAGAGGCTGACAGTTGTAGAGGAGTAACAGCGCATAGTACAATCATCAGCAGGGGAATAAGGGTAGCAGCGGTCAACTTTTTTCAGAAAACATCTAGCAAACGAGCAATGCCAGGTGATGTAGGAAAGAAGCAGGTGTGTGCTGGTTGGCACAGGGAGGAAATGGTGATGAAGAGCTGAAATTATATGGAAAGAAGAAATATTTCTGGAGAGGAAAAAGACAAGTGGACAGAGAAATGCTACATAGTCAGCTAGCTCTGTCTGAAGAAAAGACTTCATGGCTTCAGTTGTTTCTAATGTAATAACGTACCCTTGCATAAACCCAGAACAAATTGTTGATCAAATTATACTTATGGAAGTCCTAAACCTTAATCCCAAAAGTCTTTAAGAATATAGTTACTTGAATTGTGGACTCATTATATTTAAATTCTCCCAGACTGTCAGATGAGAACATCACTATTGGGAAAGAAAATCCTGACTTTTGAGAACATAAGGACAAAAGACATTCAAATAGCAAGTAAAAAGAAAGGAAGTTTATAGTAGATATTTGCAATGAGTTAAGTATATTCACTGTTGCTTACCTGTTTATCTGGTGTGGAGGTGGGTACTGGTGTACCTGGAGGAACTGCTGGAAGAGGTGGCTCCTCAATAGGACCCCTTGCAATTACGAGTTTCACTCTATTTCCACACTGCCTTAGAACTTGTGCCACCTGCTCACTGCTCATTCCAGCTAGGTCTGTATCTCCAATTTTCAAGATGTGATCTCCACTACACAATCTCCCATGCTGGAGGAAAAATAATGATGAAAAAAAATCTTTTAATATCCTGCTACTTCTTCCACATACCGTATAGTTAGAAAAAGAGCACATAGCTATAGTAACTTTTACGACACATGAACCAGGTGACTTTTTTTGGGTGTCAAGTCAATATCCTGAAAACATGGAGAAGAAAAGAAGGTTGCCTAACAGCACGCTAATTTTACTTGGAATTTCCAAAGAAATATCCAGAAGATCATTTTTCAAACAGTCACCCAAGCACACAAAAATAAACGTGTTTAGTTATGATTACTACCTTCTGATATTTAACAACTACATGCAGACTTCAAAACTCCAGGTTTCATTTCCAGGTACACTTTTAAAGACAGCATAAAAACATTTATTCTGCTTTGCACTTCTATTTAAAAACTAGTTCTCAGGATCAACCGTAACTTCAAAATAAAATTAATTTCTCTCTTACTGTGATTCAGTTATTTATATTGCTTTACACTGATTTACCTTTAATTAACAAAAAAGCTTTACATGAATTTAGGCCATATGATGCGTATTAAAGAGACAGATCTGTAAAAGGAACCTATCTACCTGCTCAGGGAAAGAGTGCAGCAGTAAATATTCTCCATGAATCTCCAGGTTCTGAGGCTGCTACTGCTGTTGTTGGAAGACTAACCAGTCTCTGTGACTATTAAATCCTTGAAGATCATTAATGCAGCCCTGGGTACCTGTCCAATGGACAAGCTTGAAATCAGCTGTGATAACCCAATTCAATTCACATGAGCCCTTCAGGCAAGAGCAGAGCCTGTGTTCTGAAGCAGACACATGAAATCACCTCTGGTCCAAGCCTCAGTAAGCCCAGCAGAGAGAAGCAGATTGTCTTAGCTGTTAGGGCAGAGCAAGTCAATCTTTGGAGTTCTCCCTACCCTTGACTACAATCAGTGCACTCATGAAAGAATTAAGAGTGTAAATGAATATCGACCAAACATGTATTATGTAAGAGGTTTGAAAATGTGATTTAGAGCCTAGTCCAGCTTTTACAAATGTACAAATCCCAGCACTAAACACACCTTTATATAAATATACATTTATATAACTTTTATATAAATTTCACTACTTGTTCTTTTTTTTTTTTCATTTATGTGGATAAAAGCTACCAGTATTTAGCATGATCATAAAAGTAAAGAGTAACTGCACACCTTACTGAATGGTAACAGAAAGGTAGATTGAATGTACCTGATCAGCAACCCCTCCTGGGAGGATGGTTTTAACAATCACTCCAGTTGACTTTCCTCCCACTATCCCAAATCCCAGACCTGAGCCATCATTCACCAACTCTATGGTCTCCACATGCTGCCAGTGAACCTAAAAGGAACAGATATAAGCTTGCAAATGATTAAAAACATAGACTCTTAGAACATATGATTTTTATAGGTATGAAAAGACCCTTAAGATTATCAAGTCAAAATCTTAACATAGGTATTAGAATTTGCAAACTATTTTCTCTTTTTTCTTGAGCATATTTTTGATAATGGAAGGTTGGAGGAAGGTGGACATAAGAGACCTTTCTAACAATTACTATTTGGTATAAGATTTCATAATTTTTAAGCAATAAATTGCTAGTTCCATAACAGGTATGCTTCTCTGGTACAAAACAGAGCTAGGTAGTGGGTCAGACCTTTCAAGAACTTGTTGAATTAATTTAAGCAGCAACGTAGGGCCACCCACCTTCACGCTCCTTTGCAGTCAGTAAATACTGCTGCTACAAAATCTCATAGGACTAGAAATCTTCAGCTAAGCGCATGTTCACATTGGTCACTATAACAAAGCACAGGTGAAAGCAAAATCCCAATTTAAGGATTTTTAAGGCTGAAAGTAGCACCAAGCATTGCAAAGTAGGCATGAGCAGAATTGCCTCATGTAATGAGCAAAGATTTTTGCACTGTCTGATGTCAACAGCAGCAGAACGAAGCGGCTCTGATGGTAGATGATGTTCTGACAGCAGCAAAACTGCTCTGAAAGATAGACAAATGCTAGTTTGCTCATATGGGGCACTACTTGAAGGGACAACTGGAAGCTCATGGTGTGCTTTCTCCTGAAGAGTACGCCATCGGAAACTTGAAACTGCAGCTGGTCCTACATTAGGTAGGATCTTGAAGGAAGCATTTATTTTGGCATAATCCGGGTATTGCAAATTCAAAGCCCTGTGGTACCTGTTTGGAAATCCACAGTCTTAACATAAACCAATGATGATCAACCAAAGCCTGAAGGAAAAAGGACAGCTCCTAATACACTGCATTTGAAAGCAAAGAGAAAACAAGCACTGGGAAAAGCACACTAAAAAACCAAAAGCTGTGACATGTTTAAAAGGAACATTTTTTCAAGCAAGGGAAGTTGTTTGGAGAATACAGAGGCAATCACATAGAGAAAAAAGTGTGTCACAGCAATGTTGGAAGAGAGCAGGAAAGCTTAGGTCAGTCAGCTGCATTCCTGCACACAGATGAAAAAGAATAATTCTGACATTCTTTCACTAAAAATTTTATGTTAATGATTAAAAAAACCACTAAAACAGCTGCGTTTTCCAGACCAATTGCTCTCTATACTGCTGGTTATCGACTCCCTTAAAGAAGGGCCACAGATGACTGAACAGCAAAACCTACAGAAACTAAAGACAAGTTGTTTCATCCCAGGACAACAAGGCATTACATGAGTAAGATACCAGCATTCAAAAGAAAGGAATTGTAGCAGAGCTGTTTTCCGGGGGGTCCTAAAATGCATCCATGCATTTTAATGTTACTTGTTACTCTACTTGGATCCCCCACGCTAACAGAACAGAGAAACAAACACGCAACTACTCATTCAGCTGGTGGTGTGGATCACATTGCAATGCCTCAAAAACTTCTGTTTGCCCAAGCAGGAGGCAAAGAAAAAAAAAGATCTTGTTTGCTGCAATCTCAAAATAAAGCTTCATCAAGGTAAATACGCTATATTTGCACTGGTAGATACAGATAATTTGGCAGATGAGAGGAAGGAATACATCCAAGATGAAGATTTCCCCCCAAAAAACCTCAATATTTTCTACTCTTTGCACTGGCAAAGGTACAGCAAAGATAAATAGAAGAAAAGCCTTGAGAAATTTGAAGGTGTGTATATACAAGTTACAAAAAATGTCTCAAAATCCTATATGCAGTAAGTACATACATGACCAGAACTGAATACACAGATGTTTGGGGTATACTCACTGGGTTGGAATGGGCTGAAACTGTGCTAGCAGCAGATGGAGACCGGGAAACTACAGGACTGATGAGCTGAGGAAAAGTGCCCCTGGCCACAACTAGCTGGACATTATCTTTTGCTTTCTGCAGGATGCTGATAGCCTGTTGATGCGTAATTGTCTGATCAAGGGCTTGTCCATTAATAGCAAGGATTTGATCTGCTTCCTTCAGCTTTCCATCTCTGTCACATAGATGTAAACAGTGAAAGAGGATGACAAAATAAACAAATCAGAAAAAACAAGGAAGCATTGCCACAGAAATTGCAATATTTGACAATTTTCCAGTATTTTTAATAACCCAGTCTCTATTCCCCCCACTTTTTAATCCCTCCCTGCAGTTTTGCTGAAAGGAGTTGATGCGGCACCCTGGTGATTGCTTCCTTTGAAGCTAATCCCACTGCCACTGTCCCCTGGCTACTACCCCCTAGCCAGCTTTCTTCTCCCTGTACCCCCATGCGAAACTAAGCATATTAATCTCAGTCACTCCCAAACACAGCCTAGGAGCTTGTGTTTATTCTTGACTTTGAGCCTCTTGCTTTACACATCAAGTGCTCGACTTTGTTCAGTGCCCCCATCCTGAATATTCATCAAATTGTGGAGTGGAACACACTTTCATCAAGATGTTACAGAAACAAATTTTGTTTTGCTGAAAAACAAGGAAAAAAAAGGAAAAGAAAAAAAAGAAAAAAAGAAGGCTAGGCAAATAAAAAAAGAGAATGAAAATGATAAAACAGATCCCTTTTATGCAAGGGGAAAAAATTAAAATAAAATAAAACCTCTTTGCTTTCTGACAACTACTGTAAAATTACACACTGAGCCCTTCCCCAGACCTAATCCAAAGGTAGTGCATGAAGCCTACAAAGTTGAATTACCTGCTACTTCCTTCACCAATTCTTTGCATCCTAAAGTGCCAACACCTCGAAAACAAAGGGCAGCAATGAAAACAAGGATCCCTACTACACCAGCTTTTGTGAGTACCTACACAGTAGAAGCTCAGTTACAGTATTCAGGAAAAAGAATTTCACTTGTGAATTCGAACTGTTTTCCAGAGTGCTCTTGAAGACTTATTATTGCCAGGGCCTTTCTCATTTACGACCCCTGTAATAGTTGTTGAATGTTTCTCTTCTGGACAATGAATCAGGTAGGGCCTGATTCAGTAAATACAGGTCTCATCTCCATGCAATAAAAGTAAAAGCAAATACCACTTCAATGGGAAGAAAGAAAAAAAGGGGGAAATTTAGGCAAATTAGAAAATATTGTGAATAAGTAGAGCATGATGCTTTCTGTAACTGAAGTAACTCTGCAGACCGTGCTCTGGCCTCTGTTAAAAATACAGTGTTCAGATCACAAATAATCCAAAATCTTCTCCCTACAGTACAGTGAAAAATAGAATCAACATGACTCACACCTCCCCACACAACATACAGAGTTCACTGCAAAGCCGCTCTGGCCAGGTTCCTTGATCACTGATACACCTCACCTCACTTGCACTGCTGCCATTCACCACTAGGTTTGTTTGCTCCCTTGGGCTGTTCTTACAGTAGAAATCCATTTCTCTCAACACTACTTGTGAAATTTGAGTTTAAGCCTAAAGTATATTTTCAGCAAGCTATTATTATTGCTGAGCTTCTGTAACATCAACTTAATACCTCTTTGAATATCTCTGAGTTTAGTCAAGCTTGACTTTAAAGCTTGGCTTCCCACCTGCTCAGTGGGCCATACCTTACAAATAACACTGCTAGTTACAGCTGACTATTTTGCATAATATTGTTTTTCAATGCATTCAAGGATGGTAAAATATGGATTTCAGTGTTAAAAGACACAACAAAGAATGGCAGCCTCCCCTTTTTCCCTATTTAAAAGGAGATGTTATAAACAAACCACAGAGAAGGACATAAGTAGTTTTAATAAATTCAGAACACGTCATATGTTGTCCTATTCCAACATCACAAAAATTGCAGTGTTAAGTAACTTTACATCTGCAATGATGCTTAGGATATGAGAGAAAAATGCTCTTGTACCACAAAAATAACAGCACTAACACAACTAAATTGCACTGTCACATTAACATTTGGTATAGTAAAATATTCCAATAGTTTTCTTACCTATGTGCCACACTTCCCTCCTGGATTTCTTGCACAAATATTCCTAGTTCTCCCCTGTTTTCACTCTTGAGTCCCACAACACTGAAGCCCAGACCACCACTTAGAGGTTTAGTAAGTTCAATTGTCTCAACAAGACGACCCTGTTCAGCAGAAGTTAAAAAAAGGGTGCAAATGTTAAAAGGTTAAAAATGAACAAAGGTTAAAAATGTTGAAAAGTAGTAATAACAAATGTTATAAACAACTTGGAAATTAGTTGCTAATTTGCCAGTTACAGTTACAGTTGAGCAAGACTATACAAGCTAATAACTGAAACATAGTTGTTCATTTCCTATTTTTTCCTATCATACAGAAAAGATTTGAGAAATAAAAGACTACCACAGCCCCGAAGAGGAAATCAGGGAAGAACAGCTAAATATACAGACTTTAGGCTTAGTAGTGACTAAAGTAGGATATGCATCTATAAAATTTTAGAGGGTACAGGTCAACTTTCAAGCAAAACTAGAAAAAGAGGAAGAATTTCAGAAAGATTAAAAAAGTAGGACTATGCAAAAGGCTCTCCATAAAAGCATTAGACTTCTCTTATCAGACTTTTTTACAGATTAATTACAAAAATCCTAGAATATATGCCTGGGCATTCTCAGCTCCAGTCACTGTAGGGACTTGTGCATCATTTCTGGCTGCTACAGGAAAGTAGTAAGATTACACAGCAAGGTCAAAAAGGAATTTTCCATTTAATTTCCAAGAAAGTCTAGTTGTCCTTAGTTATGCATACAAAAGGATGCCCTGATAAAGTATCTCCCCCATGGACAGAGAGGCAGTTCTACAATGTGCATAAAAAGATAATGGGATGCTGATCTGTGAGAGACACACAGGCCAGCTAAGGACAGTTAACTCAGCAGCAAGAATGTCAAGACCACTTTTTCACCTGCTTTCTCATTTACTAATTGTTCCTCAAATTAAACGGTTACTTTTATTTTATACAGGAAGTGAGCTCTGCTCTGTGTAATAACACAATTGCTTTTAAGTAAGCATACATGTATTTTAATCATCAGATAATCAGTAATCCACATTCTGTGGTTACTGTAAAACAAGTTTACCTGGGACATGTTTCTGATCAGCTGCTCAAAGTCATCACTAGAGGACTTCCCATTAATCTGAGGAGTAATGGATCGCATTGATGCTTCTAGCACATTAGCTGGGCTGCCATTCTGCTGAGCCAGCAAATATGACTCATTAAGGGGCAAGGACCCCATGTTCACACCATGATGGAGAAGCTGAGGGAATTCATCAGTGGAATGTATGGAGGGTGCAATATTTACCTGTAAAAGATTGATGGCAACACAGATTTATAGACACAGCAAAAACCTCCCGCCTACATAAGAGCATCATAATAAGTCAATTGATTGTTAAAAGTACCTGAAATACCAATTTGCAATTTCAAAAAGACATTTTAAAAGAAAAATTACCTTCGATATTTATAATCAATGTACAGTTGTGAACTACCAGCATAAAACACAGAAATTGACAAGAACAATTTTAAATTGCCTAAAATTAATTTGTTCCTATCAGTATAGCATCTTCAAGTATTCCATCACAGTGGTAAATGTAAACAAGTATTACCAAACTTTTTCTATAGTAACAGTATTAAAAAAAACAAAACAAAACAAAACAAAACCCAAACAAATGTATCACTTATTTTACAAGAAAAAAAAAAGTATGTGTATATTGATGAAAAAAAGAAAGAAACCTCACCAGCTACATAGAAGACAAATTTCACTGGTCATGGTTTCTGCATCACAAGGCACTACCAATCTGACTATCTACATGAGCTAGAATTAAATACAAAATTACTGAACAAGTCTAAAACCACCAGGCTGCTCCGAAAATCATACTTGTACCTTTACGCAGATAGATTTGATAATACCATTCTCTTAGAACAGAAAAGAAAATGAGAAATTTCTCCATTTTGCCCAGTCATGGTAAACTACCTCTTTTCAAGCAGGTCTCCGCCAACGAATCTAATGAATGGCTGCTGGAGATACAAAGCTCACCTGAGAGATGAGCAGAAACCCTCATTTGGCTGTTGTCCCGCTTGCCTGTTGACAGTCAACACGAACCATTTTACTCCACATAGATTTGCCGCATACTTGCCTGGCACACTAACCACAGTACTGCAGTTTCAAATACTTTTCATAGTTTTACAGTGCAAATTTTCTAGCATTCTGTACCACAATACAGAAGACTAGGGTTCCCCTTCCTTAAAGTCATATTTTTAAACTTTATGTATCAAAAATTTCAGAATTGTAAATATATTCTAACATGTCTACTGCACCAGTCTCAACTGTTTAAGCATGTTACTTCTATTAGGTTTATCATATCATTCTCCCAACAGTCCAGTCATTAAAAGGTCAATATTGCTCTCCATCACACAATTCCATCTCATCTGGGTACTTTAGGAAAATGCAATAAAACAAACGTCTACCCTTCTGCGAATACAAAATTTCTCCTTATATTATATGAACAGATTTGAAACTAGTGAAGCCTATGACATACTGCATTTCTCACCTGCATGAGGCCATATAATAGGTTAATTCAATTCCACCTTCCAAATGTCCTCCATTTCAATGTACAAAAGCATATACCTGAACTTGGTCAAATATGTGCTTTATTTCTTGTTCTCCTCCACCTTCAAATCTTCTTGTAGATCCTGCTGTTATATTTCTTCCCATAAAAAAATTGTCATGAGTGAAATTATCAATCTTAAGAGTATCTAACATCTAACACCACTGCAATTAACCCCTCTTAACTGTTTCTGTGTAACATTTTTATATTTTTACATTTCTACAATCCTACAATTGTGCTAAAAGCAAAATTTGAGACTGTACAGAAAGCTAGAACCCCTTCTGCTTTACAAAGAGCGAGCCATGCAGAAAAAAAGGACAGAAACAGAATTTTAAGCTGCAGAAACTGACTGTAGCTGCAGATCCACTGCTCTAAGTTTATTCCGTGTTACCAAATGGTGTGAAGAATGCTAACATAGAGACAATACCACCAGCTTGTGAAATCTGGATAAAAAGTCTATATCATTCCTGCCTCTAGAGTACTCCTTTACACAAAAATGTGCAGGGAGCAAGTTGCATTAGAAAAATCATGAAATACTCGAAAAGATATGTCAAGCCACAGTAATTCAAAATTATGACAATTTTAGAATAGCATGAATGACACAAGAGGTGTTTACATTGTGATACTGTATTTTTTTTCTAATATACAATAAGACTTCCTGTAAAAACAGCAAGGGAAAAAATGGAACTACACATCAAAAATAAAAGGTTATAGAGAACGACACGTTGCCCTTACAATGAACTGTATTTTATGCCTTATCTGAATCTAAGATACTTCTTGTACCACTCAATATCCCATACAGGACAACCTTCAGTATGCAGAGGGACCTCTGGGCCCATCCTGTATTATGATCTATATATGTTCTCCTAGTACTACTTAACAGTGGATTGATTGCTTTAGGCAGCTCATTTCACTGTTTGCAATGTTCTAACAGCAGATATGATGGGCACTTTTAACTTCCACCTGAACATCTGCCCAGTATCACCATATTCTTCTCTATTTAAGTTTGAAGGAGTTCTTCAATTAAGATATGACAATGTCCTTAGGGATTTATGATTTTCTCTCTGGTAGAGAACTTGGACATTCCCATGCTAAAATAGAATCAGCTCCAGGCCAACTAATTTTTAAGTTTTACATTGTATTTTCATTAACCAAATCCTGTTCAAACTGGCAATATAGTGCCCACCTTCTCACAGTTTGAAATTTCATCCTTCTCCATACTTGTATGAGCTGGGACATCACTGTAAGCATACAGGAACCGACTGACCTCTTCCACTCCTTCCACCTTTCGAAGTAGAAGATGGTAGTTGTTCATACTTTTCTAAGACATTGTCCATAATTAAGTAATAACTCCCTTATTCTGAAGACAATGGATGGTTTTTATTTGCTTGATGGTTAAGATATCAACTGATAAGAAGTGTTGCACACTATATATAACAGGAAAAGGAAAAAATAACCCTCCAATCCACATTAGCTTAACTAGAACTTTAAAAGCTTCCCCTCAAAACTTCAGTACAACAGCACAGTTACAACACAGTATTGAACACAACCATATCAGGAGCAACCGAGAGCAACACCTCATTTTCATCACACCTTTTTTTAAACATGGCTACATGTTCAATGAAGGATGTGCTTAGCACAGGAAGCCAATCCCATGTGAAGTGGCATCTGACTTCTGAAAATCCAAGAAAAAATGTTAAACTGTTAACAGAGGGAAGTTGTGTGTATGTGTGTGTGCAAAAAACTCACAAGTCACAACGCCTCCTCTTCTGAAACACACATGGTTACACTTTAAAAGCCATAAAAAACATTTATAATGACAGTTATAATGGTACTTAAGGTATAAGTTCAGAATCCCCAGACAAATCATAAGCAGAAACGTGAGGACCACTCTTTTCCCTGACCATCCTGAAATCCAGGCTTATAGCATGAAAAAGTTCAGAAGAACTGGTGCATATTCTCACTAAGGACAGAAGTATATGTCATTCCAGGGGCAGCAAATCTTAAAATTATGGTGCTCTTGTGGTTGTATGAAATATTTTTCGTAACTTCTAAATTGCACTACTTTGCAGCAATAAATGCACCATAATTCCATCAAGAAATAGCTTTACAGCACTGTGATTGCATAAGTACTCTATGACAGAATATTGCTATGTTTTATAAACTGGCTTATGCCAATTTTCCTTGATTGGCTTTCTCTGAACTGTACATAGGAACGCCAATGTGGACATAATTTGCATAAGACTAAAAGAAAAATTCATAAATACCACCGAGTATGGTAAAATTTATGCTACAGTCACACAGATAGATGCTAAATACAATCAAGTACTGCTTACATGCAGTTGCTCAAAATATTTTTTTAACAGTGTATCAACATTTAAAGCAATGTCCTCAACATTTCTAAGTCTCAACTTGGACAAGAACAAATTTTCAGTGTTTCTGTGCTCCAGCCATTGAGTACCAGCCCCTGAACACTCCAAGAAGCACAGGGCAGTATTTCACCTGACTGCAAGAATCCTGAACAGCAAAAAGGTCAGCTGCAACAGCGATCACACCAGAAGACAGGAAGCGAAGCGCAAGGCAAAGGCTGCTTGAGCCCAGCACTGTCAGGTGCCCCTGGCCCTACAGAGAAAGCCTCCAAGCTCCCAGAACAGGCAGTGGCACCAGCAACCCTCTGATGACCGCACCTTTACGACTCCATCTTCAGGGTGCATGAAGCAAATCCCAAACTAGCATTTGTCATGAGCACTTCATTTCCAAACACTGGTTGTTAGTGAACGGGGAAGAATGTGAACCAAACATCTCTAGCTATGCAAACACAGCAACTGTTTACAGGCAATATGAGAAGACAAAATTTATCACTTCTTCCCTAAATCCTCTCTAGCGCTGACACCCAGCTATCCCAGCCACTACTGTGAAGGAAAATCTATGGTCAAACTCACAAGTAAAACAAAAAATCTGAGGAATGCAGCTCAGCCAAGGGAGGGTTATTTTGTTCTGGCAGAGCCCTGACTGGAATGGAAGGGGGGGTGGGAGAACGTGGGGGAAGAAGAGGAGGTGGATGAGGGGAAGACAAAAAGGAAAGGAAAAGAAGCAGGAGAGGAATGCTAGCATGGTCTGAGTATTTTCTTTAAAATATTTTATAAAGAAAACAAATATTATTGAAAAGTTTAAAACATCACAATCTCTGCCTTGTTTTTCTGTCACTTCCTTATCTTCAAACAACTAGACAGATGGTTCTTTAACATGAGAAAACAAGCATTCACTGAAGAATAAAGGACAGAAAGAGATAGCAGAAAAACTTATTTCCTTCAGTGCTCCCCAGCTCAAGTGACTAGTAAAGTCAAAACAGTAATTCTCAAAAAAAACCCAGCCCTTTGTGTGCCTTGACTTTTCCACTTCAGTTCTTAACTTCACAATGACAGTTTTGCAGTGCAAACAAATCCTGCTTGTTAAAGAAAGGAAGAAAAACCAAACAACTTTAACAATAACCAGCAAAGCATCAGATTTGCTGACTTTAGCATCATGATTCCCCAACATTCAGAAAAAGCAACATACACTCAGTCCACACACTGCACAAACAGAAGGCAGGGCTTTCACTATCATCCCTATTCCTTCCAGACATAGTGCCTCAAGCCAGGAATACATCCTACCCTCAAATTTATTGAGGCCACTACAGGCCCACAATCAAGTCTCACTGGGTGACCTGCTTCTGCTGGGATACTTGCAGGGAATTCGTATGACTTAGAAAGTAAATTGCTATTCTGGCTTCTCTGCTCCCACCCCCTCTTTCAATCTCTACTATCCTAAAAGATGGCCTTCTCCTGATAATTTTGCAATAGTCTCCTAGCTCTTTAAAAACTGATTAAAAATACAGGAGCAGCTTAAATAGACTGTCACATTTCACTTTAGGAAACAAATCCCCATTCAACTGTCATTGCAGCTCACCATTAAACATAAAAAAAAATTTGCCATTCTAATCTCAGCTGGGTAGAGACTGCAATATTGTGTCATTGCACAGCTCAGCACCATGTCATCCTGTTTCAAACACAGCTCTGACCACAACTGCTTGGGAAACAATTTGTCTCCTTTCTCAGTCTGGCATGGCTTGGCCAAAAAGCCTGGTCACTATTCACATGCCTTGCAGTTTTCTTTAACCCATAGTTTAAGAGTTTCAACAGCACAGTACCCTGTCAGTCACAAAAAGTGTGTCCTCAAAAATGAGCCTTTGAAAATACCAAGAAGTACAATTTTTTTTTAACATTGATGCCTATTTCATGCTTTTATCCTTTGTCCTGTTTCAGTATGCTTTGTAAGTATTTAAATAACACCAAGAAAAAACAGACAATCTCATGTTATATTACAGGGAAGAAATGATTCTACAGAGAAAATACAGGATGAAGAGCTGACACAAATCTAAGAATTCTGGAAATATACATTTACATGTGTAAGTGTTCATATAACCACGTATCAAAAAGGGAAGTCACATCCAAGTAGCTTCCTTGTTACAGGATACATATCCTTGTACCAGGATATGTACCATGTAACATGCGCAGGCCACTAAAGTTACTGCACAAATAAACCTGCAGTCAGGACAGATGGTAAAATTATTACTTGCTTTTTACAAAATATATGTTTTAAATTACCCATAGGTAGTATCAGCTGCTTCATTTTTCTAATTTAGGCAACTGTATTTAAAAAGATAACCATCCTTTAATTTTACAATGAATGTCCAGAAGTGAAAATTTAATTTGTCTTTTCACCAAACTCCCATTAACATTTAAGGCACAATTTCATTTCTCACTCTGTGTTCCCAGGGTCTGCACCACACAATTCACACAATTTCTGAGTGTCACTATTAAATTCTCGTTTTCAAATAGGAGAGCAAACAAACCTTCAGGACAGGGTTTTTTCCTAGATTTTTTTTTAATCACTCCAATATCATCAATTGTCTAAATATGACATAGGCAAAATCTGAAAAACATGGTGATGAATGCAGCACTGTGGACAGTATTCTAATTTATTTCTTGCCTGTGCAAAACAGCATTAGGATGATCAACAAGAAACAATAAAGGGCCATAGTGTGGTCTTCTGCCACACAGTTGAAGATTGTGAGGAATCCTCACCACCACAGTCCGGTCAGAGACCAGACGTGGCTCCACACTGATGATAAGGTTCATGTACAGGGTCTGCATTCTCCCACTTCAGCATTTCTGCATACCAGACAGAGCCGCCCATCTTGCGGGAGTAAAGAGGAACAACTATTTGCAGATACACAGTTTAGTCCTAATTCAATTACTGGACCAATTTTTATATTTTACAAGTTCTTATTCTGCTGACAAGTCAATATAGCCATTATAGCCAACCTTTTTCTCACTCTCATTGAAAACATGCAGAAAAGTAACACTTTTACTTAGTACCCTGAGCAAGCAAAAAGGAGGCTTCTCTTTGATCTTTTATTCCTATATCAAGAAAAAATAACATCCCCATGTCCTTCTGAAATCAACATTCCACAGCCTCCCTTTTACACTCTCATTTTAGCAGGGTAAGACACAAGAGGGCAATAAGAGGCTCCTAGGATAAAAGTCCTAAGACCTCATAGAAAGAATTCTCCTTTTGAATGGCAGAGACAAAATGCACTGTGTCAGCTCTGCACCCAAAATCACCATTTCCCTACCCTGCACATTGAAAGTAACAAGCATATACATAAAAATCACATATACAAACTATGGGTCTCAACAAAGCCCAGAAAAGTCAATGGAGTATGCCCCCATCAGTTCCCTGAACCTTTGCATCAGATTTTTAGTTTAAGCTATTTTATTTCACTGTTCAACCAGTAGAGACATTTTTGCACCACCTTAGCAATTTTTCCCTTGCACCTGGGAAGGTTGCTTTTCCTACCTGATCTCTCAGTTGTTGAACAGAAGTCTGAAGGTTCAGAATTTGATTAAAGAGAGGACTCTGCAGCACTGATTTTAACAAGTTGAGTTTCTCCTCATTTGCAATGTCACCTCGATTCCGAAGTTTTGCCTGTAAGCGATCCATGGCCTGGAGGGCCCGATGGGTATCTGTAGCGATAATCATTTCTAGTCAGCAGCAGTCTAGAAACATCCACATTTAAGCAGGTAACAGGTTTAAATATAACTCTTTTTATTGTTCAAACTACAGAGGACTTGAATGGCTCAGTTCTCAACAAAAATCCCAGTGCAAACATGTCTAATGAAGCAGGAAGTCAGAGGCAGAGCACAAAACAGAAGCCAATAAAAATCACATTTTTGTCCACCAAGAACTGGCTTACAAAAGTGAAAGAGCCTTCATTAAAATTCAGTTACAGCAACTGTGGCTACAAACCATTGTAAATAAATAGTGACATAAAGAGTCATAATAGAAAACATTTGTCTTTTTCATGTCTTTCAGGCAAAGATTAAAACAACCAAATGAAGACAACAGGCTAAAAATTAAATACACTAAACAAATGATGGTACATCTTCTGTTTTCAAACACAAAAACCCAAACACAACACAAATTTTTAATCAGAAGAGATAATTTTCTCAAAATCTCTCTCAGCAGTTTATACCAATGACCCAAATCTATCACGCGCACTTGATTTAGCCACAAAAATACTGTGATACAAATGAAAAAAATTACCAATTGTTTCCAACATGTTTTTCTCTTCTCAGCTTCTATTTTAACGTTGGTAAGAGATAGAAAATATATCCCTGAAAAATAACAGAAAGGGAAAAAAAGTCACATTTATAGAAGTGTTAAGCTCTGATGGAGAAGAAAAAAGCTTGACTTCCGAAAACAAGAAACAGTAAAATAACAATCCACAAAAAACATATCTCCATGGATAATTAAAATAATCTCAAAGGTGACTATATTCTGAGTTACTTTGGCACTTAAAACCTGCCTGAAAATTGCTTTAGGAATGTACTTTGTCATATTTTCCTTTCCATATCAATGCTGCTGTCTGCATACTGCTGCACAACATCTCCTGCAATGCTTTAAACAGAAGCTATGAATCATCGCTGTCACTGATATTTTACAGTTTCATTGCTTTCCTTTTCAGTGATTCACAAAAGACATTCCCTGCAGGATCAGTTTTCAAGCTCTATGTTGACAATTTCAGGTGCACCAGCCACAGCACATTTTTAAGCAATCTTTTTTAAAGAAAAGTCACATAAATCACAAAGTCTTCATGCTAAAGACCTGCAAGAGTCTTACATTATAGCCTCCACCATTAATATGTTTTGGAATTGAGACTCTGATCTAGATGATGGCTGAGTTTTCACTAGTGTGCGTTTTCAGGCAGGAAATTCCATGCTGAGAGGAAGAAATTTGCAAATTGCTTTGTTGATTCTTTTTGTTGCTTTTGGGCGTTGTTTGGGGCTTTTTTTTCCACAGTGTACCTCCAATTGCTCTGAAATTTGTAGCGATAGAACATGTTTGATGAGATGGATAGCTGAGGAGAAGTGAGGAGGTCAAGTATCATTGCAGGTGTACGAACTCATAATCTTATCCTTCAAAATTGTGCTTTTGTTTTCTTTATAATAGGAAAACCATTATAGCATCCCAACTTGAATCTGGAGAGCTTAAAAATATACAGAACCACAATCTCTAAGCACTCAGGAAAAGAGATTTTTTCCTTGAAACTTTGGAGAAAAAGAGAAATGGGAATGATGTTGTCAGATCTCTGGGTAAGTTAGTCTACCAGGACCATTAGTTACGGAACCTGATTGTCAAGCCTATACTATTTAGAGTTTATGCAGAAAAAACAAACCAAATGGGTTTAAAATGATCTCAAGTTCCATCAACATGACTTCTCTAGTTTTGATATACCAGAAGCTTTGTATCAATTTTATTCATGGAATCACAGAATCATAGACTGGTTAGGGTTGGAAAGAACCTTAGAGATCATCTTGTTCCAAGCCCTCTGCCATGGGTAGGGAACCTTGCACTAGACGTGGCTAGTCAGAGCTCCATCCAGCCTGGTCTTGAACACTTCCAGCAATGGGAGCATTCACAACTTCTCTGAAAGTTGCTTTTGAATTTGCCAATACATTGGTATAGAATCACTCATCATCCTTTTCAGGAAAACATACCACTTAGGGACAAACATTCAAATCCCTTAAACTTGATTTTGTCAAAGTAATCTTATTCCATGATCCAACAGAATCCAACAGAATATCAGTAACAAATAAAAATAAGCCTTTATGAATTTGTTTTCTCACTTGGCAAGGGAAATCCCAGCATGTGACTGCCAGATCTCAAAACCTGAAATTGTCTTGTTTTTTCACCCTGTCACTCTACAAAACAAGACAAAATTAAGTCTATTTTACATGGAAAGGGTTGGATGAGATTATTTAAATATTATGAAAGAAGCTGGCTTCCCCAAACCTTAATCACCCAAAGCTTGTTTTTAGATTAGCAAACTACTGTCACTTCTGTTCAGAGTCCCTATTTACAAGTTTACATTTATGTCACGTTCAAAGTGTCTTTCTCAGTGGCAATACCAATCAAAGCAGTTCTTTCCTGTTTCACTGTTCCGGTTCTTTCTCTCTAGCTATTCTTGGGGCTCTGTAGTGGATCCAACCAGAAAAGTGTGTAAAAAAATAGATATGGAGTATTTTTCAGTCATTTTAGTGCCATGATCCTGTTTATCACAGCACTATACACACAAACACATAGCATTATATGTTCAACAGACGAAACTACTCAGGAAAAATACAGGGTTACTGTTCTGCTTCAGCTCCACAAGAACCTCAAGAAGAGATACAGCTGTAAAATGTCTCTGTCTTTTGGAATAGCTGGATATTGCTTTATACCATAACTCTATCTGTCAAAAATCTCATTCTTGCCGTGCTGTGAAAGGCATATTTTACAAGTGACAGCAGAAAAGGTCACCACTGTGTTCAGGCAACCCTGAAGGTATGAACTCTGATAACTTATAGTGAAAGATTTCTAAAAGCAGACTCAAGTCCTAAACATACTCTACAGATTGAGATGATGGTATCTAATTTGCAACAAAAAGAAGTCCTTAGCTCTGCTAATACACTCATTACATACTTTCTCTTTACCTCATGCTTTAGAGAGAGAAATTAATACTGCTCCAGTGCTATGCTAGCATCAGCAAATTCATTTTTAACTCTCAAGTTTATTTGTGCTTACATTAGCAGGAAATCCCTCCCCAGCTGGCCAGTTTAATGCTTTTGTTGACTGCAGCAATAAGCATGAGCAAGACAAAAACTGTTGTCAGGATGTTTTCCCTCAGGACACCTCTGAGGCAGATGCAGTGTGTTGAGGCACACCAGCGTTTCTACGCAGGCCCAGATGACCCCTGTTCTCTCTGCCTGCACTCTGAAAGGGCAAAAATCCACATGACTGTTGTCCCGCTGTGCCACATCCATGCTAACAAGTGGGATCTGTCAGCACCAGCTTAGTGGCACATTAACATATTGAAAGCACAGGAGAAGCAACCACACATCTGTCCAAAATGCACCACTGAAACACATCCATAAGCAACACCACCCACTGCAGGCTGCCCCGGCCTTTAAATCAACTTTTGCTTCTAGGTATTGTAGAAATAATGTGCTAGGGAGAAGTAGAGAGGCATGCACGATGACTTGCTGACAGGTGTAAGCCTATCATTTGCTATTGTGAATATTTTTATAATGCCATCACAGACTTCTACATGTACAATGGGAAGATTCGTTCTGATTTTCTCATTTTGCAAACTCCTGGCAATTTGTATCACAGGATCCTGAAGCCAAAACTGGCCCTTCCATACATCATACCATACTGTTCATGCCTCAAAGAGCTTACTAGCTTAGCTCAAAGTAGATTTAACTATTTTTGTATTTCAGTGCTAAAGTTCATTAATCTCTTCACAGTAATAAGGACACAGACTGTCTGAGTTAGACTTTTTAAATTGGTAACTCAAAGAAATGCTGCTAAGGAAATAGCAAATTAAATTTACTTTCAAGTTTTAAAGGCACAGATACTTGAAAGCTATGACTTTTTAAAAAAAACCAAACAAAAAACCCTCTCCACCCTTTATTTTTCCTTCTGTTTTATAACATTAAAGTAGAAAACACAAGGAATTTTAGACAGACACGTGGTGACAAACATGGTCTTCTCTCTAAGTATAAATGAAAATTAAAAATGATCCCTTTCAAACTTGCACTTTGGAAATTTGACTCTGCACATGTTAAGAAACAAAAATGTGTTATATACACATTTCTCTACTCTCTATGGTACCCTTCTTTGATAAGGTCGGTTGCCAGAAAACAATTGGCATGTTGCAGTTCTGGTTTCCTTCGGTCCACTTCTGTAATGCTAAAATCCACAGGTGGTAGAATTTTTAAAAAGCAACCTGAAATTTATTTGATCACCTCCTTTCCATTGCAGTCACACAAGACACTTAGCTAAACAGACAAAAGATTCAAGAGAAAAGAGAAAGACCTTTTTCCAGTGATTATTCTTTCACACCTGATCATTTAGTTTCTACAAAGAAACCTACTCTGTTTCATTGATAGATACTCCATCTACTATTTCACAAAGTCATTTCAGATAATACCCTGGAAACTAATGCTCATAGCAGCGGATTACCAAACATGCAATGCCAAAGATAGAAAACACAGTAATAGGCTTTGCCCTGTAGCTCCTCCATTACTTGAAGTGCTCTGAGCATACAGAGGAAATGCCTATCTTAAGAGTGATCTCTGGGCCCAAACTTTGGCATGAGATTAAAATTAAATCTGTTTCAATTAAGCAGCATTGTAACCACAACATGCATTTAACAGCTGATAAAAAAGAGTATTTCGAAACTTCTATTCTAAATTTCAACACTTGGGCCTGGTTTTGTGTGTGCTAGAGATATCATTTAACATTTGATTTTTATCCCGTGTCATTTCCCTCCCATATTTTCTGGCTATCACTCAAACAGGTATATTGTGTTAGCGCTGCATGGTGCAGGAAAGGAAACCAAAACATGCAGGAAGTGGAAGATATTAATTACTGCTAAACCTTCTGCTTTGCCTACAGATTCCAAGAGCTCTTCCATTTTGCCCAGTTACATCCTGCATGCTGGCTACTAAGCCCAGGAAGAAAACTAAGGTGGATCTCAGATTCTCTGGGAGTAGTCTTGTCAAAATAAATGCAGTAGAAACTATTCATGGTTAATTGAAAAATGTCATGCTTTCTATGTATTTTTCTACTGTCACAAAGGCAATTTTACTCTTGCATACAGTGCTTTCTTAAGCACACTGAGAAAGCGTATGGAAATAAACGCAAGAGAACAGTGACCAACAGGGAAAAGATGATAAACAAAAACAATAAGTGGAAAGGAAGAAAGAAGGGGAAAAAAGGCTAGCCTACCATTTTACTGACAGGACACGCGCTTGGCAAATTAACATCAACCACTCAGTTTCATCAGCCAAGAGACCCTAGACTGCTAGCTTCTGAATGACAAAAGAGAGAACTGATTCAAATTAAGGATTTAATACAAGCAAAATTAATGTGCACTGTTCCACAAGGAACAAAGGAGATTTCCACTGGTTATCTGGAATGTAACAGGTAAGCAAGAGAAGACTGACATTTACATTTAAAAGCTATGCCAATGAAAATTGTTCTGAAACATTCAAAGTAGAAATAAAAAGGTAGTATTCATACAGCCTATATTAAGACTCTAAGAAGTCTGAAAAGATGTTACTAGTCTCTAGAGTTTAGCAAAATGCTGAATGCATCAAAAATATGTAGAGATGTAATGGCTCTGGATGTTAGAGAAAAGTTCTGTTACAGAGTTGAACAGCTTTATGTATTTTGAAGCAACTATAAAAACAGAATTTTGAACATTCAACTATTTTTAACCTTCTGTATACAGTACATTAATGTACTAAAGAAACTTAAAATCATTTTTGATGAACTGGCAGTCTGTACACTGTGTATAATTAATAATGTTCCGTAACATTGGAAGGAGACCTGTATCAGCATAATATAAAATATCCACGTTAACTGACATGCAAGTGATAATTGCAACTGGAAAATGGGCTTAAACTATCCATAATGCTTTCACCTACTGATAAACCTGTCTGATATAGCATATTTAAAAGTGATTTGCATAGAGTATTGCAAAAACGACAACATAGTAGGTGGAGTGTTTCTAGTGGGGTTTTGGTGGCTTTTTTGGTTAATGAAACAAACATACCATCTGTTTACAAAAAAGTATTTTTTCAGTAAATATTTAAATTAAGAACAGTTGGAATCCTTTCTTCTAACTTCTGAAGTACATAAGCTTCAGAAACTGAAAAGCAAGTTTTTGGTATATGTTGAATATACGTGACACAACAGATACTGAATTAACAAAACATAGGCATGATTAATATTGCCTCTTTATGTTTTCAGCATAGGCAATTGATTACCATATTCATTAAACTCAGTTAAACCTGATGAAGCATAGTTCCTACAGCACTTGCACCTCTTAATGTATACTGCATTCTTCACAGAGGTGACAACAGCATACATAAATGAAGAAATACAAAGCTTCACTGAACAGTTGCCAGTAAGCTTCAACAAAGAGTCATTATTTTCCTTACAAACTGAAAAGGGAAATTTCTCATTGTATACTGCGACAATAACAAGCAAGTTATACAGAAAATCAGGACACTGTATAACAAGACCACTGTGCAAGAGGTCTCAGATGCAAGGACAAGGTTTGAAAAGTCTACGAAAGAAATACTTCAAAAGCAGCACGTTTTTGTACTGACTTGTTGGGAATGCCAACAAAACTGTCCTTAGCAATGATGATACAGTATACAGTACCAGCATAGTACCGTATTGGCTTAAATTGCTTCATCAGGATGCTCAAATATAAAGCCAATTAGAAAATTTATTGGATGTTCTTCACAGAATGTAAACTTTCTTACAGGAAACATGGAGAAGATGATTTTAAAGGTCTTTAAAATGGTTCTCAGTACAGTGATCAAAGTGCTACTTATTAAAACAGAACCATCTACAGCGATCTGGGTGACTGAGAAGCCGCACGGCATTTCTCGCTGAAGAATTCACAGACAAAGGGCCAGGAGGAATATAAAGATCATCAATTAGTATGTAAGTAGTGCAGTTCTCTCTTGCCTGATGCTGATACTGATCTAACTTTCCTAGTGTAAAGAGGAGAGAGTGTATCCAGTTACTGATGAAAAAGCTTCTTCAAAGCATTAAGGAAACAATTAGAAACACAAAAGCTAATCAGCAAATGTTACATGCATGTTACTGTTAACTAGATACATAGAGATAAAAAATATGCATACTAGAAATGCATAACAATTTTGGAAAAAAAAAAAAGTTGATGTTCTCTCTCTTAAAAAATGTTGCTTATTAAGGTCGATATGTCCTTAGATATTTTCAATCTGCATTCTTTTCCTCTAATGTTACAACTACTTTCAATTTCCAAAGAAGCCTCAAGTAACATTCCTAAAAAATACTTTACCACTTTCCCCTTTTCCAGTTTAGATTCCTCCCTCCCAACGAGTTGCTGTAATCTTGGAAAACGGAGTAGAGATATGGGAATCACAGGGCATCACACAATAGAACTTCCGCAACTGCACAATTCAAACCCTTTCGTCTGATTACGGTAAATCACTGCTCTGCTCCAGAGACAGATTTCTGATACCATTTCTGGCACCAAAGCCGGTAAGGACGTTTTCTATTAAACAGTTTACAATAAAAAGCCCCACCTTCTGCACGTGTTAAGAAATAAAAATATAACGGGACGCGGCAGTGTTATAAAAGCAAAAGACAGGGAAAAGGAAACAAAAATGAAGCCACAGCATTCTTCAGCCAAGTGGCAAATCAAGCCTGTTAAATGCGGTACATGGAGTTCAAAAGGTCGGCTTTGTGAGAGTTTTTCTTTTGCTCCTCTTCTTCCTACTACTATTTCCAGTAACATATGGAGGTGCTGGCAGCAATGGGGAACACCATACGAGGAACGAACCATCCCGAAAAGCAGACCCTTTCCTTTGAGCATCCAGACGTACCAAAGGGCACGACTGCGGGCGGCTCCTCGCCGCTCCGCTTCCACTCTGCCAAACCCGTCACGTTTACAGGCGTACCCGGGGAGCTGCTGGAGCGCCGCAGCGGGGTCCGGACCTGCGGAAGCGCCGACACCACCACGGCAACAGGTACCGACCCCCGAGCACCCGCGGCCACCGCCCCGCTCCGAGCCCAAGGACACCGCCGGTCTCGCCCGGGCCTCCGGTCCGGCTCTGGCTCCGAGCGAGGCTGAACGCCGCCGACCGCAGGCGCTGGCCGAGGGCCGCCCGCGGGTCAGTGGCAGCGCCGGCAGATGAGGAGACCCTCCCAGGCAGGAAACACCGACGGGGCTTGAAAACGGGGGGTGAGGGGGGGCGCGGGCAGCAGGGCTCCCTGCAGATGCCGGGGGAGGCTCAGCTTTTGTTTATGGGAGGACGTGTCCCCGTCAGGCCGCTGGAGCCCGCGGACCGCCCGCCGCCGCAGGCCGGAGCCCCGGCCCAGCGCGGCCCCCAGCGCCGCTCCCGCTGCCCGCCGACGGTCCGGGGCGGGAGGGTCGGGACACAGCAACAGGCTCAGCGATCCCCGCGGCTCCACGGCCTATCTCCTCCTCCAGCCATCCCCCTCCCCGGCAAAACCCAGGGGACCAACAAAACAATAATAAATAAAACTTCGCCAGACAAATGCACTTTAAAATGCCGCTCAAACTCCAGCGACATGGCGGGCCCTCCCCGGCCCGCATCCCCTCAGGACGACGCGGGTGGGCTCAGCCCCCTCCCCGCCGCCCGGCCCGGCGCCCCGCTTACCCCCGCGGCACGGCGGCCCCGCCGCCCGGCCCTGGTCTCCGCCCTTCCCGCCCCCGAGTAGCGGCGCCGAGCGATCCGCGCCGCGGGGGCAGCGCGCTCGGGCACGCCCCGCCGGCCTGAAACCTAATCCTGCGCCGCCGCCCCCCCGCCCGCGGGTCTCCCCGGAGAACGGCTGGACCGCCGGCCCGCCTGCAGCGCCAAGCGGGACAGCGGCAGCACCGCCGCGACGGAGGGCGGGGGTATCCAGGGGATGGCGGGGGTATCCAGGGGATGGCGGGGGTATCCAGGGGATGGCGGGGGTATCCAGGGGATGGCAGTGCACGCTCGAGGGCTGCCTGGCCCGCTCCCTCCCGGCCTGTCGCTTCGCTGTCCTTCCCGCAAAGTTTGCCTCCCCACGGCTGCAGGAGAGTAAGCCGTGCCGGGGGAGACACCGGGGAGCCGGGCTGCCTGGGTTTACCTCGCCGGTTCGCCCGTGAAGTGAAGGTGGCGGCGGTCTCCCCGCTGCCTCTCCCCGCTGGGGCCGTGTCGCCTGCGGCTGGGCGTCCGCCCAGCCACCGGCTGTGCCCCTTCTGCTTCAATAAGATGAGCCGGGGCTGGAAAATGAGAAATATTTGCAAATGTTAAATAGAAAAAAAAAAATAAATAAAAAAAGAAGCGAAGACCAAGAAACAACACATGATGAAGTTGATGAAGTCAGACAAAATGATTAATGAGGTCACAGAGTTACTGAAGGGATGATTTTTTTCCTCGATCCAGCAGCTGGTTAGTGTCTTAACTAAAAGTAAAGAAGATGCTGTGTGCCTTTCACATATATATGTTCTAAGAATGAAGCACATAATGCGGGAGTGTTTGCATAAGATGCTGTGTGCCTTTCACATATATATGTTCTAAGAATAAAGCACATAATGCAGGAGTGTTTGCGTAAGTTCAGCTAAAAGTGGAATTATTTTGCTGTTTGTTAACTTTGCTTCTCCCAGGAAATGTTATCAGTCATGGTCTCCCTTTTTCTTTTACAGAAGATAATTCTTTGGTGTAGATGCACTCTGGTGCCTCCATGGAGGTAACCCCCCTCAGAGAGAGATGGACCCACACTGTTCTGCCAGGCATGTTGACCCTGGCTCTTTAGAAGCTCCGTGTACTCTTTATCTGCTTGCCTTCTGATCTGATTTGGTTCTTTTTCCAAATGGATTTTAACTCTTAAGTGTCACCATATCAAGTGATTGTGGTTTGGGATTTTTTTTTTTTTTTTGGGTCACACAATCATTTTAAAGAAACTTAATGTTTTGAAGATGGAATGGAGTACTGCCCTATCTATTTTCAAGAGGATCAGTAAATACAATCAAAGTGCAAACTCTTACATTAGCAGAACACTTATAATGTAAACTTTAAGAAAGACAGGTCTTTGCACATTGCATGAAATTATTCGAGATTAAATTCTGGTTGAACGACCAAACAATATTCGTCTTGCTTATTACCTTTTTTCTGCTGAATACTAAAATATGCATGTAATTACACCTTTTTAACAGTAATACTTCCACTTTCTAACTAAGAAAAATAATTTTCAAAATTTTATTCATGGGTTCCATGGTCTGGCATGTGCTGGTGAGCGTATTGCTTTTTTAAATCAAACACAGAATAACCAGGACATTGAATGCTCCCTAAACTGTCCCACCAACTTTGTGTGTTGCATGAGCCTTTATTTAATCCAGAATGAAATCTTAAAAGGAAGTTACAATTTGTTTGCATGTATCATTCTTCAATAAATAAACCACAGTCAATTAGGTAAGTATGAAATGAGACAGCTATTGTTATTTTTCTGTTGCTCAGGCTTTAACCATAGCATCCCACTGAAATAAAATATAGTGACACTATTAAGTTTATTTGGAGCAAAAAAAGGGCCAAAATTAGGTGCAATACTACTTTACTCCTGATGTATAACAATATCGTTTGTTTAATAGGTCTTCCCAGGAAAATTTGTCTTTGTGTGGGATATACCTTTCAGATAGTTTTTTAACATATGGACCGCTATTCTTAAGTAAAAATAAATTTTCAGTTATATTCAGATTTTGTCGAGTCCTTGGAGTATATAGAAAGTAAATGATAGCTACTGAACATCATTCTACCTTAGTCCTTGCCTGTATTTGCATGGGCATACTTATGGCAACACAGCCGTACGCACAAACTTAGCTCTCTCAGTTGACATACAACACATCTGTAATGGGAATTTGCATCACAGGAACATAATGAGCTCTTGTGTGCAGTAGCTGGTGACTCTGATGAAGAGCCATGCAGGCATAGTTCTAGTAAATAGTGAAGCAAACTGTTAGGAGTTGGACCATACTAGTGGTCTTGTGCATATACCTCCTAGTAGGTTTAGGAAGCTAATTAGAAAGACATCAGCAATTAGTATTTACTCTTTTCTTCTTTTTGTTTATAACAAAGTAGGACAAAGAATCATTTAATGGATTCTGCAATGAGGAAACCATGTGACCTCTCCAGCCACTTCCCAGTAAAAGCGGGTAGCAAAGTGTTAATTATTAATTATTAATAATAATTAATAATTTCCTTAGTGTGAATTACATTGTGCGCAGTGACCACACGATGTTTTAAGTTATGTGATAGCTTCATTAGTATAAGTGGTGTGGCCACTGATGTTATCTTGAGAGATGCTGTCTTTAAAATATGAGAAAAGATAATCTGTTGTGTATTTCAAGTCTAAATATGTTAGCAAACTACAAACAATTTACGAACATTTATCTACATGATTTTAAATAAAAATTGCAAGCAGTTTTTTAAAGCATAAATTTTCTTCAAAAGACCATTATGATCACAAAGTCCATAAGTAAAAAAAAAAAAACAAAACTGTCTGAAAACTCTTAAGAAGATGAAGAGGTTCTAAAAAACCCCACATTTTATGTTCTCCAGTATTAATATATAGAAATATTTCATTTCTCAGGCCAATTTATAATACGGTCAAAGTATCAATATTGAATGAGATGTCTGCCTTGCTGATTTACTTAAAGAAATAAAATATTAATATTAATGATGTACTGCTTAGATTGATTAGAAAACATAAAGGAGAAGTGAACTCAGAAAAAAACATCTTTACAAAAATATCAGGGCCACAAAAAGCAAGTATATGGGTCCATTAAATCATTCATCAGGCTGCTGTTGGGGATGCAGTCTTTTAAAATAGTAATGGGAACAGGATCCATCAAATGAAATGAGAGTCTGATATTGCTCTATCTGAGTCACAAATACTGACTTCACTGTGAGAAGGATACTGTCTATGAAACACATTTGACAAAGTTTATGGCACAAATCTATTTAATCCCTACCAAAAAACATGCATTCATAACAATAATTGTTTAGTTTCATTACTGTGGACATTATATTTCAGTATGGGGATTGGTATTGCATGCCTCACTGGAGACTGGGTAGAATATATATTTTAGGAACCTAAAGGAATCCTGTGAGGGAGGACTCAGGAATATTTATATATTTTATATTAATGCTTCAAAAATTCCATCTATCAGCTTAGAAAAAAAACATAAAAAGAGACAAAGAAACCTTTTCATAAGTACTAACTTTAAAAATTTAATAAATTTCTTCTTTTATAGCCTTACTTTTCATTATTACAGCATAATTTTCTGAATGTATATTCATGTATATATTTGCATACATAGACACAATATTATACTTTTCATTAGAGCATTTCCTCAAATTTTAAGTTAAAAAAACCCACTAATTACAATCTTCCCTTTTAGAGAATGGTAATAACTATTATAGATCAAATTTTATTCCCTGATGTGTAAACGAAGAGTAATCCATTGCCTTAAGTGGAATTAAACTGTAGAAAACCAATTTGAGATCAAGGGTAACTATGATCCTAATTGCTGTAGCTGCTAATCTAAATATACTAAGTATGTGGTTATGCATTCTGTCTTTATCTAACTAAGGATGGATCACCATCATCTTCTTTTTTCATGGAACTCTTTAGAATAGCATTCTTTTTTACTGCATTTCCAGAAGTTACACTAGAAGAAGCATAGTTACATATAACACACTTCTCTGCCATCACCTCAACATAAAAATTATACTTGAAAAGTCGGATGGCCTAACTGTGCCGTCACTTCTGTTACTGGAGGTAACACCATTCATGTTGTTATGCAGAGTTAAAATTCGGAACTGTCTCTTAACTTTTGCATTTGAAATTTATTCTTTTTTTTATTATTATGCTGAAAAGTACAGAATATTAGTTTCTCTTACTGAAACACTCATGTTGGCAAGAATGGTGCATAGATTTACACTTTAAAGGTTATTAGGGAAAGTCTTCCCTGGGGGTACACTTCATAACTGTTATTATTGCTATTGGAGGTTACACATGTGTGTAGAAGAGAAAGTATGCCCGGTAAGGTAAAACAGAGTAAAAAAAATCATAAAAGGTATGTTAATTATTTATAACTACAAAACAAAATACTTTAAATTATGGCAAATTAAAAGGACATTTATTTACACACAAACAGGATTGTTTAAAGCACAGGCCTTGCCCGTAGCATAGAAGTGAAGCCAAATAAGTGACAAAGAATATTAACCTTGTCGTAGATTTTTCAGACATATAATACCTATAAGGAGTGTCTGGTTTTGTCAGATTAAGGCTTGGGGGTTTTTTTTCAAATGTTGAATTTTGCCAAAGGCTGCCACATGTTTGACAGACGCCACTCTCAGACAACCTAATTTAAAAACCTTTTTTCAGAAGTCCCTCAAGGGACACAGTCCAGAGCAACATGTGATCTGGAGTACTTGTAAATGTAACAGTTGTACCAGTGTTTAAAAACACAAGGCAATATCTCATTAGTAATTTTTGTGTTAGAAAAACTGATAGGTCCTATTTGACCTTTCCTTTAGTTCTAAAAACTTCAGAATGGAAGGAACTGACCTGACTAGTTCATGAGTTTAACTAACAGCTGATCATGTTAATTTTGAGTATTGAAAATGCTATCACCTCTCTCCAAAATGTTTGAGGTGTCAGAACAGTTATATAAATTTATCTGGAAAAAAATGGACTGTAATTAACCAGTTTTACAGGCAGGTAAACGACAGCACATTTGATGGGAGGGGGCAATGTTGATAGGAAGAAAAGGAAACGATTCTCTGGCAAAAGAGAATAAAAGCTCTTGAAGCTCTCTGAAATAAAGCACAGC